GTCGTCATTCTAATGGACACAATTGTTGATTAGTGATCATTAACGTGGGGTGGGTCGATTGCTTTACCTAGTGATTGGGAAATCATCCTAGTTCTTTAGAGGTACGTCTGCCCGTATAATTTTGTTTATCTGCATGTGTGACAAATTGTATCTTGGTATATTGTATTATTAGGCTTTATCTTTTGTACTACTTTGTATTGTGCCAAACTATGATTGCTTCTTGATACTATGGAATGGTTGTTATATATATTTTTCTTTTATAGATTGCCGTTGTGTGTCTTGTTATTCTTGATGCTTTGTTTGTCCTCGTTGAGATCCTTTTGGATTTAGAATTGCTTGTAGAAAAAGTTGACCACATCATACCAGAGGTAAGCTTCAAATGTTTGTGTATTAAACGCATCTCTAAAATTCACTCTTACATTTCTTCACACTTGCTCCTTACCCCCCTCCCTCCCCCAAAAGGCCTGCATATTGAGTCTACCTCTTCATACTAATAGACTGCCTTCCCCACCCCTATAAAAGGACTTGAATGCAAGCATGCAAACCACATCCTACTAAAACCTACACATTTTACCTACTGTATCTTAACCAAATCTGTCCTGTCCTAAAGCTGCTTATAGCAAACTCTTGACATTTTGTGAATGTGGATGGATTGAATTTAATTTAAAGGGTCCCTCCATTCTGTGGTAGATAGCCCCCCATGCATTTTCCCCATCGAAGAGACACACCTGGGCTTATTTTCTTCTCATTCATTATTTATTATCTGAAACGGATAAAATTCTAATCCTTGACAGTGATCATAAAACACATTTGTAAAAAAATTCTAGGGACACACTAAGCACCATAGCCCGCATCCGCCCCTTTCTTACACAAGATTTTTTTTGGTTTTCGATAAGTATTGAATACAACTAAGAGTATACTCTGTGCTGCTGTCAGCCTACATAAGCATTTATTCTCCGTTTAACTTATAACATATGTTTGAATATTAGGAATTAGGCTTAATGTGCTCTTCAGTGGGCACAAAACCCATGTCTGTAGAACCCTACAGTACATTTTATTTAATTGGATAAGTTCATGATTAGCATCTGTGATTGATATCAATGCAGAAAATAGTATGTTACATATGTCATCCATCAAGCTGGCTACATATCCTGGGAATTGTAGTCCTCAAAACTTTGCACTGTACCGGGGTTAGCCATCATTGCTGGCAAAAAGATTCCTAAAGTACATTTCTACTATGAATGTGTGATTGACAAAGCATCCTTCTAACTTTATTTTTGTTTTGGCTTTTATTTCCCTAGATTTTCCATTATTTGAGTATTTCTGTCTTGAGCATTTTTCTTGTGGAAATTGTCGCAAAGCTATATGCTTTCCGGCTAGAATTCTTCCATCACAAATTTGAAGTTTTTGACGCTGTTATTGTGATAATCTCCTTTATCATTGACATTGTCTATATCTCTCGGGAAGATGTATTCAGTGCAATTGGGCTACTGATTTTGCTTCGGCTTTGGCGAGTGGCCAGGATAGTGAATGGTAAGTGTTTGTTCATTTATTTTTCTTAAAAACTGCTATAATTACCGTTTGAGGGACCTGGTACTATGCACCCAGACCACTTCAATCAGCTGCAGTGGTCTGGGTGCTTATATTGTCCGTTTAAGGCAAGTGTGTTTTGACAACTAGGGCCCTAAAGGGGACAATGCACATCAAAGTACTTTAGTGCAAATTTACACCCTCCCTAGGGCGAGCTGCAATTTTGGAACTGAGTAATTGCAGACACATATTGAGGAGCGCAGAGTGCAATTTCAGAAATTCTTTACATTTTGTGTCTTAAATTGGCACTTTAATTTAATCTGAAAGATTTTATGTGATTAAAAAGGACATGCACCAGTTGATCTTTTGATTGAAGCTTATTAAACTCTTTTGATTGAGGCTTTAATTCATACGTGAGAAGAAATGTCTGTGTGCATCAAGTGACCTGTGGGACATGGGTTTAACACCGCTGCAGTGGAGGATTCTACATAGTTGTATAACCACTGTTCTACTGAATTTTAGATGTAAAACAAAAATCAGAAAAAGGCTGTGAGAAGGATGGAAGTAAAAGTTTAAAATACATTAAAACCAGAGACCTGGGAGAATGGGGCAAGGTACAAGTTAAGGCTAGCTCTGGGAGCTTCTAGTCAAGTTTCTAAAGCTGTGAAATGGTTCGACAATCTCCCCTCTCCCTCACAAAATCTATGCCCAAGGATTTCTAATAAGCAGAGTATTTAATAATCCACAGGTGTTATTCTGTCTGTAAAGAGCCGTGCAGAAGACAAAATCCATAAACTAAAACATAAACAAGATGTGTTACTGGCGAGAGTCTCACAACTGGAACAGCAGTGTTCTGAACAGGTACGAAAATTGTAGTTTGTTGTTTTTTATTCGAAATTCTTAACTTAATGATGTCATGGGTTGTTTTTGTTTTACCATAATGCAAAAAGCTAAGTTGTCTTCCATGAGATTAAAGTTTCCATTAAGCCGTAAAATGGTAGTATTAAATTATTTTAGTATTCATTTGACTGGCTGTGGGACATGGCATTGCACATGTAGGTTTTGTATTTCTGCAAGCCAAGTAAATATATAGACACGCATACCGCCAAAACAATATCACCTCCTAAGCCCCACTTACCTACTGCATTGGCTGCGGCACTGACATTAAACCAATAGAAAAAGACTTCTTGGCAGTATAAATAATGACCGCCTCCATTCTTACTGCATTTACCTGCTTGGTTGGGTTCCTTATAAATACATACCCATGAGCAGTACATCTGATTTATTTATTTATTTATTTATTTTAATTGGATAAGGTCTCTAAACAAAAATAAAATGTACCCTCCCACAATTTCAGTAAATAAATTTTTAATAAGAAAAATACATAATTTTATTTATAGAGATATAAAGAACAGTAAGTGTATATAGAACTGCTCTTTCTTATAACTTGTTTATTGGCTTATTAGTCAAGCATCACTGCTAGAAACAAGCAATACAACTTACAGAATGCTTCTCATTTTGAACAAGTCTAGAAATATAGTACTTTGTGTTCTATGAATGTAGAGGTGAGAATATTTTATCCTTAGTCAAGTAAAATGGTGATTTATCACCCAATGATGGTCTGAACGTTCTCTCGGAGCACTGCCTTCTTCCACAAGTAAATGCTAACCCACACGCTGCAAATGGTAGAAATACATTGCCCATGATTCTCAGCTAGTAGTCTAGTTGAACTTCCTGAAAAGTATAGTTCACACTTCTGCAACGCCATGCTTAAGTATTACAAAAATGTGCATTAAATGTTATATTTTTAATTTAAATTTTCCACAGGAGCAAGAGATTTCCAGACTACAGAGAGTACTACAACAACATAATATAATTCCTGATTCAACCGAAGCGGCACATTCTTGATTTTTTTTTTTTCAGTAAGCGTTTTCTTGGACCATATTTTATGTCTAATTATATTTTAATGAACATCATGTTTAAAAAAAAAAAAAAAATGCAACAAATTTGTATATTTTGATTTCGCTTTATTGTATAAAATACATATTTCGACCATAAATAAAAATGATTGTTACACATGTTTAAACAAAATACAGTGCTACTCAAGGCTTCTTGACAATTTGTTCTAGTAGAAAACCAGCAGTTATATATTTATTTTTAGATTCTTGGTGCACATGCTGAAAGTGTTCAATATACACCCACCATTATTTGGTTTTAAATGGTTTAGTGTCAGTGATATACTTTTTAAAAGATGCATAGCCATTTATTCTAGTTTTTGCATGACCCAATAGCTAACTGATATGGGATCATCTTTTCTTTATTAAATAAAGTTTATAACTCATATACAATGTATGGGTATGCTAGGCATATAGTAATTCTGTGTACAGGTTTGGTTATGGAGCATACAACACTACTGAAGGAATGTACTTGTATGCCACCTTAAAAGCAGATGCTCAAGTGGGTCTGAAGCTTTGAAGGGTGCTGACACCCACATACAAGGTGTGTTTTTATACTTTACTTTTTAAAAGCACCACCTGATTTGAGGAATGCAGTTGAGCAAAGGATGAGAAAGAGGAACTGTCTCTTTAAAAGAAATGGCAATTCCTCTTCAAGTGTAAGGTTTCGTCATTCAACATATGTCTTCACCTCTTTAAGACATTGAACACAAACTATAAGGGACCGTGTCTCTCAGACACACAACTGCTTGTTCATGCTTGAGTGAAGTCTTTATTCCGCAGGGAGCAGGAAAACTCAAAATTACATCGATTTGGTCTGCACTATTCAGTCATTTTATTATAAAATGTAAAGCACATGTACAAGCTAGTAACACCTTAGTGTTGGTGTACTGTCATTTGATGAGACATTTTAAACGTTTGTTGAGGTCTGTGAGGGTACCCCATCTTTTAGGTGAGACTTTTTTTTTTTTAAGTTCTTTTTGTGGTTTGACCTGTTTGTTCTTTCATTTTAGATGTTTGTTACGGATTTCCACATAATAAGCAGAGTGGAAACTGTCACTTTCTGCAGCAAGCTAAAGCAGATCTAGCTTTAGTGCTGTTTTTCCGGATTGTTTTTTGTTTAAGTGTGCTATATAAGGTAAGAGTACAAAAGTAAGGAGTTGGCTTTATGTAAACCTAATATATTCCCTGGGGCAATGGAGTCTTAGGGGGCCGACCACCTAAATGGTGGTTTAGAACTATAGTGTCAGGAATACACATTTGCATAACTGATACTATATTGTCCCTTTAAGTATATCTCTAAGTAACCTTGCATTTTGCATTCATTCTGTCCATGTTATGGATCATGTTGCTAGAACACAACATATCATTGTCATGTTTTTAATATTAAGATGTTGCTTAAATCCTGTCTTTGTGGCACTTAAACATAGCAGGATAATTCCCACTGTAATCATTTACAGCTACCAATTAATATTTACAGAGCTAAATCCGATAACCTAATGTGCTACCTGCTAATTATACAAATGGGTAGAAGAAATCAAAGGGCAGCTTGGCATCAAAGGTTGGTTGAGCTTTGTAACCAGGCTCTGCGGATGCAGACACATCAACAAAAGTGACGGAACAGAAGATCTGTACAAGTTTTTCACTTCCAAGAAAAGCGGTCTATAAAGAGGGACACCATTAATAATCATATACAGAGTGAATGTACGGATTATCATTGATCAACACATTATAAATTGCATCCATGTGGCCAACAGGGCAAATTTAATATGGGTCATATTTTAACGGTTTACAAGAAATGCATGTATTTACAGTACAAAAGGCTAGGTTATCCTACATTAACTTTAAACATTTGCATTGCACTTAAAGCCTGGATTATGGAGCTGATAAATGCAGAGCTGATGCTGGCATATAGCAAATCACTCCATTATTTTGTCAGTCAACAAATTAATACATGGTGCAAATCTATTTGATTTGGTATTTGACATGGTGTAAATCTCCCAGTCAACCCTAACAATCTGGTATAGGTGCTAAACAAAAAGTCTATAGATTATTTGTTCAGCACCCAGCCTACAAATAATCTTTGCCACAAGCGGGTTTACTGGCCAAGTCATTAAAAGTGTAGAAAGAGTGAATAGGTTTAGTAAATAAACCTCAAACTGAATTTAAAGCTTTTGGCACAGTAATCTTAAAAAAAAAAAAAACACCTTTCCAAATCAGTTGTATTTTCAGTTTGGCTATTTTGGCATAAATGTTAATTTTGTCGCGTATTAAGACATAATCTGCTCTTCATTCACCATAATTATACAGATGGTACATTGTAAATATTTTATTTTATGTTAGTGTTTGATAAAGTAATATGGTTGCTATATGTTAGGGCTGTCTGCCTCTGCCCTGGAGTGCTCAGTTACTCACACTGTACTCTTGCATTATCACACATACACTTCACAGCCAAAGATAACTAAGAATTTTTTTAATAGACAAACTGCAGGCTTAAACAATCCAAGTTGGACAATTTCTAGAAAAAAAATTGCTGAAAAAATAATTTTCTACTTACTGGGATAGCATTGTAAGTAATCTTTTGTGTAACATTCACAATCTGTGCTTGAGGATTAACCAATGATCCATATTTAGTCCATCTCACTTCTAGTTCTAAAGACACTGGCATTTTACATGTGTTCTAAAACAAAATAGAAGATATATAGATATATATAAAAATTAAGTTGTTGAAATTGTACTGGCTAAGACATTACTAGGGTCAATGGAGTACAGCAATGGCAACCTTCTATAAACACCCCGCCCCCGCTTTTATTTCAATTAGAAAGGTTTAGCCTTAAAACCTTTAATTCACTCACTGCAATATTTGTCATATATCTTTCCAAAAATGTATTTTGAATCCGTCTGCATTTGACCCTGCTTGATGTAGATTCCAGTGATTGCTTCAGATTTTAATGCTTCACAGGGTGATTAAGAACATTCTCATCGACACACTTTAACTCCTATTGCTTCCATTTTAACAAGCCATAAAACAAAAGTTTTGGCTCCAACTGGAAAGGTTAAAATGTAAGTGCTAATAGTATCATGATTGTGGACTATATCTACCATGATGCTGTGTCAGCATTATGGGAGTTTAGATCTGTGGCTATGCAGCCCTATACGCAGAAAACTGCGCTAGAAAGGTGTCAGAACACACAGTGTTTCTTGGCCAGCATTACGTTTTCCAGCAATCTGAGCTATAGTAGTTCTGTGTTATTGAAAGAGACGGGTTAACCTTTACTCCCCATGTGCAGCAATGAGCCTTGGACGCCCATGACACTGATGCTGGTTCACTGGTTGTCCTTCCTTGCACTACTTTTATGTACTAACCACTGCCTACTGGGAAAATCCCGCAAGATTTGCCGTTTTGGACATGCTCTGACCATCATGAAATTCAAGAACTGACTGTTTACTTGCTGCCCCATTTATCCCCACCCCTTGCTAGCTGTCATTGAAATAATATAATAAACAATATTCACTTAATAGGTCAGTGGTTTTAATGTTGTGGCTGATCAGTGTACTTACCTGAAGTTGTCCCCTGCAAGAGCCATCCATCTTCTTTCTTCAGCTACCAAGTGCTTCACCTAACAGGAGTTGCATCACTACTAGACACTGAGGTGTATTGAGGATCCAGAGAGACTGTAGTTTTCTCTATAGCAGGGGTTCCCAACCCAGTCCTCAAGTACCCCCTACCAGTCCAGGATTTAGTGATTACCCTGTTGTGTCTAAAGTGTTTTTTTTTCTTTCTTGTAAAAACACCTTAGACACAACTGGGTAATCCCTAAATCTTGGACTGGTTGGGGGTACTTTAGGACTGGGTTGGGAACACTGCTCTATAGACCCACTTGTGTAATCTGTGGGAAGGTTCCATACTGCCACAGCTATTGATTGCAACCACTGTAAAAATCTTCATCTATTGTCATGTTTTGTCCAACTAGGACTTTGCCATAAGACATTTTTGTCCTTACTTTGAACTTCCAATGCAACCAAAATAATTTTATAATACAGTCAACATGCTTATTTTCATAAAATCTCTTCATGAAATATTCAAAAGCAATATTGTTGTGACAGCCCCTCTAGGAGAGAGAAGTTTGAAAGTACAGTGGAACAAACACATTGCACAAGTGCCAAAAATGCCTATCAAAAACATGGAATTTCAGGAAACCCTCAGTCAAAAGGAGTTTAAAGATCTTTCACCTCCACTCAATTTGTGGTGTCCCTGCTATTATATTAGCAGGACACTAAATACATTAAGAACTCCTGCACAGTCTAGCAAGCTATTAAAAGAGCAAGGGATAATTCATTTTAAATTAAACAGAATTTGCAATAAATAAAGTGTAAACATTAGATGACTCTTTACAGGAAGTGTTTAGGAAGCTTGTTTTTGCAGCCCAAGTCTCATCTCCCTGCATGTAACTTACACAAAGTGATTTAACTCCTAAATGGCAGAGAATTGAGCAGTAAGACTGTTGGAGCATGATCTATACACCAAAACTGCTTCATCAAGCTAAAGTTGTTTTGGTGACTATTGTATCCCTAAGGTATAACATAACAGGACAAGTTTACAGCACAGATATCTTACCACTTCTGTAGGAGTAACAGCAGTAACATCAACAATCGGCACCCAGTCTAACACATTCTGTGGTTGAGAATTTCCAAATGAGGCTACATATTGTGGGAACTGCTGGTCTCTTAGTACGTTCAGGACAACATCTGCTGCAAGTTGGCAAAATGCTGTTTCAGAGTTACTAAGACTTTAAAAAAATAAAATAATCAAATTATTCTGAACACATGGAGTTAATACTGAAAGCAAACAATTACCACAAAACAGAACGACTCATTTAAAAGGAATACTGCAACACTTTATTTAAGATAAATTAGTGAAAATACTAAAACGTTCACTTATGTCTGACCAGCAATAGAGCTGGTATAAGGTATAACCCTTATTTATAATTAATGGATATATGCAAATAACAATGACAGTTCTCATTCTCATTCTAGTAAATCACATTGTATATGGGTGGTGGGATCAATGTTTTTGCTTTCTTTTTTAAGTGTGTTTTTGTGACTATAATAATAAAGGTATATAGTTTTATATGACTTCTTTTTTTTCCTTTTTGTTAATCTATTTTTATTGAGGTATTGGTACAATAAATTTTACAAGTATGACAGAGCTATTGTAGGACATAGGATTCTCATATATGTACGAACAGTACAAGAATAATGCAGAACAAATAATATAGTGGCATATGATGCAATTATAAGGAGATGATCACTGACATACATTGAGTTATTACTCCTCATAATAAAATTAAAGAAAAGGAAAATGACATCAGATTAAGCATACTGCTCCTCGTGCCTAAATCTCTGTCCAGGTAGAGTACACCATGGCACATGTGATAGCATTCACTGGAGACCTTCCTAGATTGTGGGCTTCCTGCCCAGGAGATTGGAGAGATTAAAGACTTATTTCAGAGACCATGGGAAGGTTAGGCGGCATGGAACCCATTACTGCTTATAGCCTGCTTGCCACATTCTGTTGGCCTGTCCTGGATTTAAATACATTTGACTGGTCCCCTTTACTGATCAACACATATCTGTCATGGATGAATGAATTGTCCATTTATTTATTTTGCAGTACTGGATAGGGACATTTTCCCACCATTTGGTTCACAGATCATGTGATAAAAATATTTAATCAGGGGAAATCCTGATGAAAGTCCTGGAAATTACTGAAACGTTGATCCTAATTTTAAATATATACTAATAAATACTGGATTTTATAGAAGACCGTAAGTGCAACTATTTCTCTACCTCGTTTGGATTTAGAAAGCTCTGGCTTGCACCTGGCAATAAGATAAGTATTTAGACAGCGAGCTTGTAGCAATATATATATATATATATATATATATATATATATATATATATATATTATTTTTCCTCTGGCTGCTCGTCCTTTTCTCCCCCTCTATTACTCACTTAATCTGTGAATAAAATCTATATTTATTTAGTATTAGGTGACTATAAATCATCTTTTTTTTGCTGTCAGTCATGTCTTTTTTATGTTACTGTGAAAGTCAGAATCGCATATCAAAACAAACATGCTCAACCATTGTGCATTTCAGTTAGTTCATGATTCCCCTACAATTAGTCTAAATGTTCAGAATTTCCATTGATCATCCGGTTTGCCCAAATTTGGACAAAATGCATTTCTGAACCAAAAGAATCTCCAAGTATTGGAGTCTAGAACTCAATGAAAACCACAATTGTTAAATCAACTGCTTCAAAACCCCCAACCACAAAACAATAACCCCTCACTCAAACTAAATGTAAAAAAAATATGCTCAAAGTGTTGTAAGAAGTATAGAAGGATATGACCACAGAACATAGTTTCCTAACAGAGACCCAAAATACACGTGCAGCGTTACAGCGATCACCAAAATGTTGTTAGGAAAACCACAAAGCCTTTTGCCTATTCATGTGCAGCTCCTTCCTCTGACACCCTTGTGGGAGCATTACTAAGCTATGTAATAACTTAAACCAACTGGAGAGGTTATATAGTTGCTCATATGCACTGAATAGCACTCTCTCTTTAAATGGCACAATCTTCTTTAGAAATGAACATTTCCTACCCCAACCCCCCCAGCCTGAGGAAATGGAAAGTGATTTCACATACAGGAGAGGGATTTGCAATAAGATGGGTTACACTGAACTGCTTGCAACACCAATACATTTTCCTTTACTGCATAGCACAGTAACGATGTTCAATTTTAGTGTTCAGTGGAGAGAAACTATACATTTTTTTATTTCTAGTGCAAGATAAACAAATATTGTCAAGAAAAATAAATAAGAGCATTGGGAGAAAAATGCATTGAAAAAGAGAATGCATCTTCCATTCAATGGGTCACATACAGTAAAATCCTCCTAGTCCATATAGCTGAAAGAATACTATGCGCATATATTGAATTAAACCCATTCTACTTGTACAGAAATAAATCATTCCAATGAAAAGGGTCAACTTTAATATGAAATGCATTCATCATGAGAGGGGGTGAGAATGATCACTCTACCTGCACCAGAGAACTGCCATCCAAAAGTTGGATAATAGAAGGTCTGCAGTTGCCCTTGTGTCCTGTATAGGAGGGTATCACATTGCAGCCCGCTGCTTTATGGCGAGTCTCATGGTTTTTTGTTGAATGGTATAAAATCAAGCTTTGATTTTTTTTTTTTTTGTTTAAAGACCAACTAGTTGTAGTTCTACAACATCTACAGATCTACCTTTTGGGCACCCCTGCCAGAAGTTGGCTCCTGAGCAGTTCTTGAAATATTATGGAATTAAAATATCAGATACAACTCATTTGGTTTGCTTAAAGGACCACTATAGTGCCAGGAAAACAAACTAATTTTCCTGGCATTATAGTGCCCTGAGGGTGCCCGCACCCTCAGGGTCCCATGGCAGCTGTGAAAATCACAGTGAGAAGCGCGGAAGCGCCTCTAGCGGCTGTCAATGAGACAGCCACTAGAGGCTAAATTAACCCTAAAGTAAACATAGCCGCTCCTCACAATCACTGGGAGGAGCAGCGGAGGAGAAAAAAGCAGCGATGTGGGACATCGTCGCTGCCTCTGGTAAGTCACTGAAGGGGTTTTCACCCCTTCAGCAACCGGGGATTAGGGGGTGGGAGGGAGAGGGGACCTGCAGTGCCAGAAAAACTGATTGTTTTCCTGCAACTGGAGTTTCCCTTTAATCCTAGTTGGACCTGGCACCCAGACCACTTCATTGAGCTGGAGTGGTCTGGGTGCCTATAGTGGTGCCTTAGATCAGGGCTTGACAAATTTGATTGGAATCTAGGAGCCAGCTAAAACAGTTAGGAGCCAGTCTTTTTTTAAACAAAGTTTAATCTTGAACGAGAAAAAATGCAATTCTTAAAGGAACGCTATAGTCACCAGAACCACTGCAGCTTAAAGTTGTTCTGGTGTTTGTAGCATGTCACTGCAGACCTTTCAATGTAAACACTACATTTTCAGAGAAAAGACAGTGTTTACATTCCTGTCTTGGGACACTTCTAGTGGCAGTCACTCAGACGGTCACTTGAGGTGATTTCTAGAACCTATGTTCACTGTCTCCATACGGTGTATTCAGGCACTGAATGTTCCCCATAGAGATGCATGGATTCAATGTAATGAAATGCGAATTGGCGCAGCACAGCCTTTTGCTTCACACGCGCAATATCCTCCCAAAGCTTTCCTATGGGAAAGCATTGACGTAACTGAGATCATAAGGATTATCTCAGCCATGGAGGCATGACAAGCCGGGCGAAACCATTTCAGTATATTTTATTATTCAACAATGTGCACCATTCAGTGGGAGAATGTTTTTTTTAGATTGAGCAGTGGAGTGTCCTTTTAATCTTTTATGTGATATTGTTATTATGTTGTTGACAGATGATCTCAGATGAGAACTCAGCTGAGTTTGGGACTGGTCATCGGACAAACTGAGGAAATGCCTACTCAGCCACGAAGATCATGGGGAAAGGGCTGGCCATGGAGATGGGAGGATCTCTTTGGTTGGCCCTCCAAAAGTAAGGGCTCCAGAGCCTGTGCTCTAACTCCCCCATCACTGAACACCCAGCATGTAATTCTGACTGGCTGCTTACATCACAGGCACTATGCATAGGTCCTAAAATGGTCATTCTAGCTAAACGTAGTATAGCTTGGCTAGATGAAAATAGTATAGTTGTGCTTGGAATATTTGAAAAGGGTTTATGTAAAACAAATCTTTATAGACAGTGCTTAATTTAAATTCCAATTCAATATTAAAGAGACACCCTAAGTACAAAAACAACGTTGCTTAATAGAGCAGTTTTGCTGTATAGATCATGCCCATGCAGTCTCACTACTCAATTCTCTACCATTTGGGAATTGCAAAAATGAGAGCTAAACAAATTAGGCTCCTTTTCAGGTGTCTAGTAAGTCTTTGTGATTTTCAGCCAAACTATGGCTTTGGCTGCAAAAATAAAATGCATAAACAAAGTAATTTAACTCTTACATGACGGAGAATTGAGCAGTGAGACTACATGGGGCATGATCTATATACCACGACTGCTTCATTATACAGTTGTTTTGGTGCTTGGAGTGTCCCTTTAATCATCTGAAACAATAGTATTAGATGTTATACTTTACATTCTCCATTAATAAACATTTAGTTTATTAAAAGTAACAGACAATATATGTATTATAAACACCTTACTGTAGTGGTTATGGTATATTGAGTCTTTCTTCAAAAACTGGGGCTCTTCTGACAGCCAACGCTCAGTTTCTTTGCAGCTAATGATAAGTTACAAATGAAGTAACATATCTTGGGTTACAAAATATAGATTTTTTCTCCAGTCAAATGAGAAAGACATTTAGAAGTATGTATTAGTTACTAACCGCAATATGCAACCAGACACCATGTTATAACCAAATAAAACTGTTGCCCTGTTGCCATATTCAGCCAAGCAGCTTTGGTCCTTTGAGCTTTTCAACAGGGTCAGTTGGCCGAATCGGTCGGTACTCTGAATAATACCAGACTTATAACAGCTTTGTTAAGGAGCATCAGTTATGGAATTTGCTACATTTACTCATTTTTAAAGCAGGCCCCATTAATAAGCTATTTTGTGGAACAACTTAATGAAGCGGTTTTCACAGAACATGTTACACCAAGCATGTCAAACCCGAAGGCTAGCACGAGCCAAATAAACAAGGTTTAAGTTTGTGCGGGCTGCAAAAAAAAACCAAAACCTTAAATTTTCATAGAAACGTAGGTTTGTTTTTAAAAGTACAGTATAAGAAAAAAACAGCATCCCCTCTGCTAAACCCCAGTCCCCCCCCTATACTAATTCTCAGTCCCCCCCTCTATACTAAATCCCAGTCCCATCCCCCTTGTACTAAATCCCAGCACCGCGACTCTACTAAACTCCGGCCCTTGTTTAAAAAACAAACAAAAAAAACAACAATATTAGCTAACAAGCAGACTACAATCACATTGCTGCTGCCAGTATGTGACTCTGGAGTCCAGCCTCTGGTATACCCCAATGGCACATCCGCAAAAGCGGATCCTCCCGCTGCTCCTTGAAAACCTCTGAAGGTGGAGCACGTTGACGTCACGTCGGAATGTGATGTGGCGTTGCGTACCTCTGTGCACATCCAGGTCCTCCACTGTACAGCTGCGGCCATCGCAACGCTGACCAACACACACTCACTCTCTGACAGACAGACAGGCACACACACTCTCAGACAGGCACACACACTCTCTGACAGACACACACACACACACTGACAGACAGGCTCACTCTCTGACAGACACACAAATCATTTTATTTATTGCTCCGCCTATCCATGGGGTCCAGTGGGGATCTCCTCTCGGGAGCTCAGTCTTCCTGCTGCCGGGTGCTGGAATGATGTCATATTTCAGCACCCGGCATCACTACAGAGGGCGCGCGCGAGCAGCAGGAAGACTGAGCTCCCTTGCTGCTGCCACCTTCCTCTCCCCCGGCAATATGGGGAGAGCAGGTGCCTACTCTACGTTGGTAAGCATGTGAAACTCGCGGCCCACTGGGCCGCAAACATATTCATTGTGGGCTGTGACAGGCTTGGTTTACACCTTTGTTACGACTACACAATGTATTTTAACGTTAACCAGTATAAGCAATAAGCCAATTTCTAGTACAATACCCCCATTTTAAATTTTTTTATATAAGAGAAACTAATTTATCCAACACCTGAGATTTAGGTATTATATTTGTTAACCTCTGTATGGATTTTTATTTCCGCGCTACAGGAAAACGTTAACACTCCTTTCTATGGATTCTTTCACTGACCCATAGCAAGGTAATGACAAAAGTAAGTCAACCCCAAACACTTTCACATAACGAATCATAAAGAGAGTCAAAGATGAGCCTGTTCTTGTTTCATATATAGGGTTATCTTTGGAACATAAACATTCTTGTTATATAAAAAGTCGGTAACATAGTAGGGAACATTTTTCATGTGATGCTTGGTTTTCTTTTAAATCTTAGATCAAAGATTTAGCAAATGGCATGACAACAAAATTCCGACCAGGTGCAGCCAGGGTACAGCAGGCAAAAGAGGAGGAGAAATAAAAAATGAGTCTTTCTTCCTCTTCGTTCCCTGTGCTGACCACGGGTGCAAAGGACAGAACTTCTAATGATTGACGAGGGTCTAAGAAGGTTACGAGAAAACAAGGAATTTAAATGTCATTTTTCACACCTCACAAATACAGATTTGTTAAATATACGCACAAGTAAAGATGCTATCGAAAATACTGGGAAGGGACAATTTCACATAAGAATTATCTCTTCTACATTGAACATGCCAAGAAATAGATTTAAAAAAATCATTTTACAAAGATAAGATGGTGTACTGTAAAAAACAAATGAAGAAAAAAAAAACAGACAAACAGAAATCATGTAAAAAAAGAAAAAGGATATTGTGGCAATTTAAATCCCGCCAGAAGAGGTAAGCCAACCACGTAACCAGGATTTCCACTGAGAAAAGATGGGGTTGTTCCTTCCTGTAACATAAGAATATATGGTAGAAACTTTGATTTAAAAGCATTGGAAGATAAGGTTAAATCAGTGCTACGTGACTACCTCCGTCCTTTCAGCTTACACCAGCAACACAAATTGGTAAACAGTACCATGTGCAAGCAGCAACAGTTACTTGGTAGCGTTAATGATTTCACAGGTCGAAATAGAGAAACTGGCCCTTTTCAATTAATCATCAGTTATCTTACACAGAGACAAGCCTTCCCTGCGGGACCCTTTCAAAATAGCTCAAGGTTCATTTGTATGAAGTCCAAGTGGAACTGAGAAAATGAATCACCTAAAGACCATAAAAATGTCTTTATTTCGAATTTCCTTTATATAAACCTATATCACTACAGCTGAGGGCAATATTTAAAACATATAACTATACACATTGTTTAAGGATTGTTTACAGTAACTTAATGCTTGTTTAACAATAATATGTGTACATTGGGAAAAGGAGTATGAGAGGGAATGTGGGATACATAAGGGCAGCAAACAGAATTTTTGCCTACGGTGGTAACAATACTCGCAGCAGACCTGGAAAAAGGTTCCTAAATGTTTTTCTCCATTTATACAGGGTACTTTTAATGATAGTGTTATCAAAAATGAAAGTGTAAGTACACTGGAAACAGAAATGGGTCTGTTAGTTAAGGAAGACCAGGAAAAGGCAGACATTTTAAATAACTATTTTTCTTCAGTATATATTAATGAGGATCCTATGGGAAGAGATATGCAAATGATTGCTGCAAAAAACGTGCAGATAACTTGTGATTGGATGACTCAAGACAAGGTGCTACAGCAGTTAAAGAAAATTAATGTAAATAAAGCACAGGGGCCTGACGGTATTCACCCACGAGTACTTAAAGGGACACTGTAGTCACTATAAGCATATCATCTCTCTGAATTGGTTATAGTGCCTGGAGTGCCTTGGCACTGTCCCTCCATTGAGTATTGCACCATGTTCGTGCAGTATGCCACAAAATAAGAGTCCCTGGCCACCCAGAGTCCGGCCCCTTCAGTATGTGTAGCTAAGGCAGAGATTACACACTTCCTTGTTGTCATACCCATTCATACCGTCAGTTGGAACTCTGACAGGCTAAAAGCAGTCAGCTGACACTCTCAGCCAATCACAGCTGCCTATTGTTGCTCAGGCTAATACTTCCTTATTAGCCAAAGCAGCACAGAGGGGATGGATTGCGAGGGACTCTTGTTTAGCATTAAAACATTAAAAGTTTAAAAACTGTTTAATGCTGAAAGAAATGATGGTACCAGAGGACTCCAGACACTATAACCAGTTTAATGAGATGAAGCAGATACAGTGCCTACGGTGTCCCTTTAAGGAGCTATGTGGGGAAATAAGTGAACCTCTGTATTTAATCTTTCACAATTCTTTTGTTTCAGGTATTGTACCGGAGGAATGGAGAAAGGCAGATGTCGTTCCTATATTTAAAAAGGGTTTAAAATCCTTGCCTGGAAATTATGGACCTGTGAGCTTAACTTCTGTGACTGGGAAAATATTTGAAGTGCTCTTAAGGGATAATATTCAGGAATTCATTGGGAAGAACTTTGTTATTAGCAATAATCAGCATGGTTTTATGAAACATAGGTCATGTCAAACTAACCTAATTGCATTCTACTTGGAAGTAAGTAGAAGTATAGATCATGGTGTTGCAGTGGATGTGATCTACTTGGATTTTGCCAAAGCATTTGATACGGTTACTCACAATAGGTTAGTCTTCAAACTAAAAGAAATTGGTCTAGATGAATATTCTTGTTCTTGGGTAGAACATTGGCTTAAGGATATAACGAGTTGTCATTAATGGTTAATTTTCAGGCTGGACAAAAGTGGTAAGTGGTGTCCCTCAGGGTTCTGTTTTGGGACCGGTTCTATTTAACATATTTATAAATGATCTTGAAATAGGCATTGAAAGCCATGTTTCAGAGTTTGCAGATGACACAAAACTTTATAAAGTAATAAAATGTGAGCAGGATATTGCTTTGCTGCAGAGGGATTTAGATAGATTGGGGACTGTGCACTAAAATGTCTGAGGAAATCTAATGTAAAGAAATGCAAAGTTATGCACTTTGGGGTCAAAAATGCACAAGCAACTTACACCCTAAATGGTAGTGAATTAGGGATATTCACACACGAGAAGGGTTTGGGAATTGTTATAGACAACAAATTAGGCAGCAATATGCAATGTCAATCTGCAGTTGCTAAGGCCAGTAAGGTTTTGTCATGTATAAATAGGGGCATAAATCTTCAGGATGAAAATATAATTTTGCCTCTTTATAAATCGCTGGTAAGACTAACCCTTGAATATGCAGTGCAATTTTGGGCACCTGAAGGATATCCTGGCACTAGAAAAAGTGCAGAGACAAGCTTCAAAATTGATAAAAGGAATGGAGCATTTTTACGAAGAAAGTTTAAAAATTTTAATCTCTTTAGTTTGGAAAAACGGCACCATAGAGGGGATATGATAACATTATACATATATTCAGAGCCAGTACAAACCATTATCTGGAAATCTATTCATAAACAGGGCTATACATAGTACACAAGGTAACACATTTAGGCTGGAAGAAAGGAGATTTCATCTAAGGCAAAGAAAAGTTTATTTTTACAGTAAGAACAATAAGGATATGGAATTCTCTGCCTGAAGAGGTGGTGTAACGGATCACCTGGCAACCCGACTGGGTACCTCCGTTGAAGGATGCTCCTAGCGCTTCATGACGGCTCCAAGCACTCTAGTAGACACCATAACCACTCTAGGCCGTACCTCTCTTCCTTCAGAGCGAATCAGGAACAAGCTCTTACATGAGCTTAGGAGTGATTAGAGCAAGGGAATATGCAGAGCATAGCAATCCCTTGTAGCAGATTCCCCCAATAAGAGACGGCACTCCAAATTGAGGGTAAAGTAGAACTGAAGCTTTTAATAAAACACTCTGCTTTTATGCACATTTTACAAACATAGTACTGCCCACAGGGTTTTGCAGAACAGCCAATCAATACGTACAATACACTCAGACACTCCCACACAAAATCCTCCCCTCTGCCTGTGATATAATTACTGAACACAATGGGTTAATGTAATTATCACAGGCAGAGAAATACAGTTTTTACACATGTACTGTAACTTTAAAAGTATACATCACATTCAACTTACATTTTCAGAATCAGCATACTCAAAATACAAACATATGTCAAAATCATCCAAATTGGTCCAGTGGTTCAAAAGATAGATCAAAGTCCTTTGTGACCAAATGAAGCATGGCTTTTCTGCCCAAAACCAGTTCCACAGAGTCTTCTATCCTGGAGATAATTGGGAAGTAATCCAATTATCTCCAAGGACAGAGGCAAAACTCCATTGAACACATGGTAAAAAAGAGGCAAAAAAAAAAACTCCATTGAACACATGGTATAAAAGAGGTAAAAAAAAATACATAAAGATATATAACTGTGCAGCTATTGTATAAAACAGGTACATTCAACATATCCCCAGATAGCTTAGATCTGAATGCACATTATCACTGAATGGCGCTCAGATCACATATATATAGTTCAATTGCCATGGAGCCAAAGGCTTTCGCATATTCTTTCGTTATACGAATGGGCTCCATGGCATAGCTATCTGGGGTTTCACTGTTCAAATAGGGCAAGTACCGAATGACCCGGCTTTCGAGTCTTTGCAGGGGAAAATCAAGCGTTTCAACATGGGACCATAGTCTAAAGGCAGCAGGCAGGCAACCAGGCTCCTCCAATGCACAGTTGCGAGATTGGTCTCGTCACAGGTGGTTTTATCAGAGTCCATACAGATGTTTTAAACAGCAATTGGATAAATACTTTCAAACAGCAGCGTACACACAATCCATGGGGCCCCAATGCAAAACCGATTCATGGGTTTTTGCCTTCTTTTGGATCAACAGTAAAAACATATGAAAGGAAGGCTGAACTTGATGGACACCAGTCTCTTTCAGCTATGTAACCATGTAACCACAAATTCACAAATGGATATGGTTTAAAATTGTGTTTCAAGTTTAAATTTACTTACTCTGGTTTTTGTTTGGAGTAACCCTTTAAACTTTTGGCAATATTCATGCATATGCACCCCTCTTACTGGGTTAGCTCTTGCATGCTGCATGATATGACAAATTCCTCCTCCTGTCCCCTAGTTGACTCATATATACAGTGTCCTGGGAGTGGATCTGGCTGAACTGGAAATTTAATTTAACAGAACAGATTTTTGGCTTGTTTCTATAATTACATAGGTTTTTCTGAATTACTCACGATGGTGAGTGTTTTTCAGATATACCAAGTTACTCTAATGACCGATTGCTACTTTAGTTCTCAATTCTTTTACTACATCTGTTATTGTGAAATTAACTTCAAAGCACCACCTCAATGATATTTGCTACTCTGCTCTCTCTGTGTCATTTTTTCCATCCCTTCTTAAAGGAAAACTATAGTGTTAATAATACAAGTGGTGCCAAGTGGTGTATTTTGGTTTCATGCTTCCCTAGGCATGACTAAACCTGGGCACCCCCTAATCTAAATTTACCCCATCCCTCCCTGTCAAGGCCGCACCTCATCCTGTTTAAGACCCACACCTTCCTCTTTAGGCACTACTTTTTCCTTTTAAAGCGCCATCTTTTCCTCTTCGGACCTAATCATTTCAAGCACACACACTGTTACTGAGCCATACACGCACTTATTGGCACACACACCGTTTAACTGACAGACACATTCTCAGATACACATACACCCACTGACAGTCATTGTCTCACACACTGTTTAACCAACACACACGTTCATTGAATGACACAAACACACTCTCAGATACACATACACACCTGACAGACACAAACTAACAGTCACACATACACATTCAGTGACAAACAAAGACGTCACTGACAGACACAGACTAACTGGTATGAAACACACACTCCTTCATTGACAGACACACATGCAGACATACAAACATTGACAGACACACATACACTCAATGACTAACAGATTATCACTGATTTGACAGATACACTCTCACAATACATTACATACCTGAGTAAAACGAATTTGAAAACTTTGCTGTAGAGGAAGCACCAAACTGTCGATTGCTCCCAGGGTGAAAGAAGCTGTGACATTTGTAATTGTACCTTGTTGTGTATATGTCATCAAGTAACTACCCTGGAAGGGATAGCATAAAAATGGAGTAAAATTATTTAAAAATATTATTTAAATATATTTCAAAAATATAGCTTAACATTAATATTTTAAAAATACTTATTTCTAAATGATACTGTACTTAGACTGTAAAGTCTTTAGGACAAATGTCATCCATGCACTTCACGCTTTAAAAAAAAAAATGCATTACATTTAAACAATACTTAAAGGAGCACTAAAAGGTCATTATGTCCCCCCCACCCTCAGGGCCCCCCTCCTGTCAGCCACTTACCTTTCTCCAGTGCCGGGCTCCCTCTGTGCTGGGGAACTATCCATCCCCTGTCAATGTCAGGTCTGAATGCGCATGCGCGGCAAGAGCCACGCGCATTCAAACAGCCCATATGAAAGCATTACTTAATGCTTTCCCATGGACGTTCAGCGTCTTCTCACTGTGATTTTTCAAAGGGAGAATTGCGGAGGAGCCTCTAGAGGCTGTCAGTGAGACACCCACTAGAGGCTGGATTAACCCTCATTGAAACATAGCAGTTTCTCTGATACTGCTATGTTTTCAGCTGCAGGGTTAAAACTAGAGGGATCTGGCACCCAGACCACTTCATTGAGCTGAACTGGTCTTGGTGTCTATAGTGGTCCTTTAATCCCTTTTATTCCAGAAGTTTGGTCCTTAAGGGGTTAATAACTTTTTTTTTTTTTTTAAGGATTATGTATACTATTGGTATCTGACCAGCTGCTGCTCAACCTAACTGTGTGAGCCTGCAGCAGCAGGCAAGTTAGGCAAAAAAAGTTTTTTATTTTTAGAAAATGTTATCAATAGAAATTATTAAGCTTCTTTAAATCTAATTCAGTTTTATAAAACAAGAAGTAAAAATTTGATGACAGTTGTCCATTAAAGTAGCACTGTCACTTTGTAAGTTTTAGTTTCAACTTAATTGTTATTTGTCCTTCTCTTTGTTTTTGATTTTATAAATTCCGCTTAGTTTTGTTAAACATAAGAAAATGTAGGGACTATTTTTTTCTTATAGGGAGCATGATCTTTGACAAATTGTGTCAATGGCTGCAGTTTAAAACAAAGTTTCTTTTGAGTTGCAAAGATAATTTACCTACAATCCATCAGTCACAATAATCCCACAAAAGGGCAAACTGTAGACATCCTGGACAGAGGAGAACAAAACGGCAGTGCCCAGGTATTGAGATCCGGCACAAAGAAGAAAACATAATAAATATAAAGACAAGGGGCACAGAAGGGAGTATAATCAATAAGATACAGTGGGTGTTACACTTTCTGTCCTACTCACAATGTGATAGGATTGGCAATCTTTCTCCATGATGCTGACACGCTGTGCCTAGTCTCCTCTAGCCAGAACTCGAAGTATTGGCTAGAGATTCATCATATCAACCATAGTGTTGTTGCTGTGCTTGAAAGCATGAGAACCACATGAAGGAGGGTTCTCCTGCTCTCCCGTCAGTCAGTTCTTCATGATAGAGGTCTACGCCAAAGACCTGATGTGTGGGATGTGCCTATTTTTAAAACGGGTTCTTTTTTCTAATCAATACATTTACTATTATATCTGCTAACACCATGTATAGATGGCATTTAATTTACTTTTAATTTAAACATGTGTGTACCATGACTGGCCAACTTTAGTTTGTGTGTGGGCGGAAGTACACATTTTGACTCACACTGGTAATGATTGTAGTATCCCTTCAACAGGTGGTAAGGTGCAACAGAGATAACTTGGCCGTGCTTGAGTAATTTGAATATTGAGCTATAACCATCTATTAGTATGCAAGTAAAATGAAGGCCTTGGTAGTAGTATGGGACTTGAATTTTTGAGCTATGATTGTTCATACCTATAAAAAAATTAAAAATTACAAATACAAAAATATAAACATAAAGAACTTACCTCCAAAACCACCCAGCTGCAATTTTGTGTAGTGTTATCCAAATCAGCAATACTTCCTGGTGTGAGAGTACCATTTAGTGATTTCAGAGTAACAGATGTTACTGTAACATTAATCTAAAATACAAAAATATTACTTGTGTTAGGGAAGGAGTTTTAGTTGTTGAAACATCAGAACCACTTATAATTCCCCCAACTACCTTTTAGGAAAAGTTTTTCTTTTTGTAAATCCTTTTTTATTGTGGTGACGGTAATAATTACACAGAATATGCGATAAATACATAGATTGAATATCATATAAGTGATAACATCTGCATTAATACATGCATGTATGAGAGAATTGCACAATTTCAGGAAAAAGTTTCTTGAGCAACTGAACAATTTAGACATAGCCACACTTTGATCTCATCCACTTAGATCTAACCACCCAGAACATGAACGGGTAGGGTAGTCACAGGTACTTAGGAGTAGGTTGCCATAAGAAGCAGGGAATGAAAGATATGTAAGATAATATAGGCAAAGTAAACAACAAGAATAAAACAATTAATTTGCACCTTGGAGAGACTTAGAGGTGGTGGTATCTAACTAAAACAGAGAAAGCGTATGACCGCAAGATATGCCACTTGGAGCACACATTTTGCTAAGAGAGAACAAGTAAGCTTGATAGCATGAATAGGAAAAACAAAAGGCTGAACAAATCAAAGGCTAAGCTGAAGGCACTAAATAAAACGGTATTAACCCATGATCCTGCTAGGTAATGGCCTATGCATGGTCAGCTGTCTGTTGTAGCCATCTCGGAATCCTGTAACCGCATCATACCAGTCCCAGGCCTGCACAAGAGTTGTCACCATATCCCCACTGTCCTGAACTTGGGTAAAGTCCAGAGCACTGTTCGTGGCGGGTTGCTGTGTCCGAGGTAGACAATGCCTCTACCGGAAACCGCAAGACCCTACGAGGGTGTGGGGTATCTACCGCAGTTGACTCCTAGCCCACGAAAGCGAATCTTCTGAGAGACGAGGGGAGTGCTTGCTAAATTGCCCAAGGGTGTCGCTCCTCAGCCAGCTGGTCTGAAAGAGGTAAGCATATTGTTGCTGGCTGGCTTAGAGGGATCCTATAGTGCCAGGAAAACAAACCTGTTTTCCTGGCACTATAGGCTCTTGGAGTGCCCCCCTCCCTCGGCGCTGAAGGGGTTAAAACTCCTTCAGCCACTTACCTTAATCCAGCGGGAGCCCGGTGCTGGTGAATTCTCCTCCCCTGCCGTCAGCTTTCGAGTGGAGCCGAAGGCGCATGCGTGGCCAGAGGCGCGTGTGCATTCAAACCCGCCCATAGGAAAGCATTACTCAAGAAAACAGCTATATTTTCAGCTGCAGGGTTAAAACTAGGAGAACCTGGCACCCAGACCTCTTCAATGAAATGAAGTGGTCTGGGTGCCTATAGTGGGCCTTTAACTAGTCTTTTAACTAGATAAAAGTTCTGTCGAGGGATCTTCCTTTTCCCTAGCCCAGAACAGAAGTCCCTGATATTGAGGAATTTTGCGATTCTTAGGCATGCTGCTTTTGTAGCACCCTGCAGTCACCTACAGATGCCCCAGCAGGTTAGTGTATTCGAAAAAACTATTTTTTAAAAAGGCCTTCTTGACAAAGTTTGCAAAAATCAGAGGAGTTCCTCTGCCGTGCGACCATCCAGCATTGTCGTCAAGCTCTGACCCCCTAGGAAAAAGTTTTTCATGTCTTTATGTAGTAGTTTAAAAGTTAAAGGATCACTCTCCTGCTGTCCCCCAAGGTTAGCAGTCAAACCATTTTAACATTTACCTTGGAGCAGCTCCCACTCCAAATTTCAGTAAAGTGAAAGTCCTTACTTCTGCATTAGTGTATCAATACCGCCGAATTGACTGACAGCCTGAAATTTCCAACAGGGACAAAGCTCCATCCAAAACAGAGAAGAAATGTATATACGTCATGCTTTAGGTTTATCTGAGGAGAGGGCCAGACAGGAGACACCCAATGACTCAAGTAAGTGTAAAACCATTTGAAAACTGGCTACTTACTGTGGGACTGAGATACCGGTTCAGAAAGGTACGCTGAGGGAGGACAGTTGGAGGCGGCTTCTAAGGTTTCCATTTGTGTTACACACCAAGAACAAATGTACAAAAGTATGTCTAAATTGTATGCTATACCTGTCAAATTGCTCAGAATGCACAAGACACCAACTGATCTCTGATGGAGAGTTTATGAATTGAGGGCAACATGTCTCCACGTGGAAGACTTGTCCAAAACTATCTATCAATACATGTTTTAACTAAATTTGTGGTTTAATGCCTACTTTGGTCTATGCTCTTTATCTGTGTTTACTACTGTGACCTTGTTTTATATTGGAAAAAACAACAACTTTAATTACAAAAAGTAATCCACTATCAGAACAGGTTAAAGGACCTCCTTTCAGTGTCTTCCAAAGGAATTTTTTTTATCTTTCACATCCTATAAATAGGGTTACCACCACTGCTCTAAAGTGGTTCAGCAAAATAACTCTACTCAGAGGGCACTTGCTGCTAGCTGGCACGATGATGCAGTAATCTTAATGTGAACAGTAATAATAAAAAATAAAAAAATGCTAATAACTAATTAGACTATGTTGTTTACATTTTAAAATTTAAAAAAGAAAATGATGTCAAGTGGATACTTGACATGTGCACTTACTTTTCCTGCTGTAAAACTGTTATTTGATCTTGACTTAAAGCAAAAGAATAAAATAAGACAATAAACAAACATCTTGTACTTACCACAATTTGAGAATTTGGCACCTGTAATAAATAAACAAATACATGTGTTTTATCTGACAAGTATATATTTGGAATTATGCTTAAAGACATCAGACTATTGAGTGAGGCACTTCCTGCATACTTACAGTCAAAATGCCAACATCTGTGTATGTCCTAAGAGATAATACAGTAGGACATGGAGTTATCGTTGTGTTTCGACTACATTTGAAATCTTGACTCATGAGGAAACCTGTGAACAGGTAAACAAAAAAAGAGCTAAACATTGAATAGGAGAAAAACTGAAGCATGATTATACATGTCCATGTCTTTTTAGTGTCACCCTTCCTAACAAGACCTCAAGTGAATTAGCTTTCCGAAATATTCAATACTGTTAGAAAAAAAGACAAACTTTCCAAATGATTTATCTACAGAGGTAACCATTTAAATCTATGGAATGGTTGTAGATAAATAATTTAGTAGGTGTTTTAACAGTATTGAATCATTTGGAAACAAAAATACTAAGTATCCCTGTGTCTTTTCTCAAGCAAAACAAAATATGTTCAATGATAATACCTGCTGCATGGGATTTGGTGCACAGTTGTAACCTAGACAACTGAAGGTAAGCATAATGCTCTCTGTGATGTGATGTGGCAAAATTGCATTCACTATCTTGATTTGGAGCATCAATCTGCTTTAATGTTTGCTTTATATGGGTGGCTTTTCATGTATGTGTGTGAGTATGAGTGTGAGTATTAGTGTGTGTACGAGTGTGTGTTTTTATGTCAGTGTGTGTATCTGTGTCATAGTGTGGGCATGTATCAATGTTTGTGTGTGTCAGGGTGCGTGTGTGTATATGTTGGTGTATATCTATATATATGTATGTGTCAGTGTCGGTGTCCTTATGAATTTGTGTGTATGTGTAGGTGTATTTATATGCATCTGTGTGTTAATGTGCATGAATATCCGTGTAAGTATGTATGTATGTATGTATGCATGCATGCATACATGCAGTAGTGTATGTGCATACATCCAAGCAGTCAAACACCAGCACAACATACAAGCACACTCCTGCAAGCTAACTCAAATATTACATTCACACACCCCTGCATTCAAACTAAAAAATATATATACACAAACACACTCCTTCACTCAAACACAAATTCTTCAGACAAATGTACATCCGCATTTAAAAGACACTTTTAGAAACACCCCTGCAATTAAACACAAACATTACATACAAACACACCCCTGTAATAAAACACAATAACTATATACAAGCACCCCTTCAAACACCAATACTGTACATTACACTATAGTGCCAGTAAATGCTGCAGCGCTGTACAGATATACAACCTAGACATTTTGACTTGGGGTGCCTTGGAAAAATACTGAAATATTAAGGGAGTCTTGAACCTAAAAAGTTTGGGAACCACTGTTTTACGCCCATTTTGGCTTCTGTACTAGAATCTAACCAGCGTAACTGTTGTGGCAGATTCTATCATAATTTCCAACCCCGTCTGATGCCGCCACTTTTCTTTTGTTTTTTTGTAAATATCTTTTTTTTATTGTAAACCAGACAAGATATATGTGCAGAGTCAGTTAAACAGTAAGGTCAATAGAAAATCTGGGAATCGCAGGTTCCAACTTCCTAATTCTCAGAAAGAGAAACACACAGGTCTCAATGAAGAGAACAATATTTTCCCAAGAAGATTCTGCATAAAACCACAATAAAGGAAAGTTTTCCATTTACTTATGTGTAGTTGTCAATTTTTCAGTAGCAACTTGAGTGGTACTCGCAGGTGCCTATCCAGGCAGGTAAACACAGGAGTAAGGTGGGATACACAAATCTCAGTGGAGGTCTAGCAAGATTAGCGTCTCTGGACCACAAATGACTAGATCAGGGGTAGGCAACCTTTTAGCAGCACTGTGCCGATATAGGATTGTGATGTCCCATAGCGTGCCGGTCCTATTTTTATTTTTTAAATCGAGTGGTATATGCTGCCATATTCTGCTTGTGTTATTTTTACTGTAATTGCTTTGTATCGTTGTATTTGTGCGTATATGCAGGGCCGTCTTTAATAGTGACTGGACCCTGAGCAAAGCATTTGCTTGGGGCCCCCTGGACCCTGTCCCCCCTCCCCAGGCATGCAATCACGTTGTCCACCTCAAGGCAGTGGCGGACCTAAAGTAGAGAGGTGCAAGAATTTTTGGGGGTCTCCCTGTTGCACGGGTGATTAAAAGGTAGATCCCCATCTGTTGTGCAACTCCAGAAATGCATTGACAGCTGGGGCTCTACCATTTACCCATGTTTGCAGGTCTGTATTTAACACTAAGCAGTTTTTGTGTGTTTGAAGGTAAACAGGTTTTTGTATGGAATATGTTTGTATGTGGTGTTGGCGTGATTGCAAGCATGTATTTGTGTAGTGTTGGTTTTTGAATGCAGGGGTGTATTTACATATAATTTTGGTGTGTAACACAGACTTGTTTGTACGTAGTGTTGAAATTTGAATGCAGGGGTGTATTTGTGTGTAGTGTTAATGTGTGAATGCTGAGATGTATGCACATATACACACACACAGAGATATATACACACTGAAATGCGCACACACACACAGATATACTGACACACACACAGACATGCTGACATACAAACATACTGACACACACACAGATATACTGACACACAAAGACATACTGACACACACACACACAGACATACTAACACACACACACACTGACAGACATACTGACAAAGACATACACTTTAAAACCCAAATCCAGTTTCCTACCTTTCCTGCTGGTGGCTGAAGGTGTTGGGAGTTGGGGTCTAGCGCTCTCGGCCAGTCCCCCTCCAATCTGCCTACTCTTCTTTCCCGCGTGCTCCTCTCTTTGTGGGAGGAAGTGATGCGCGGCCGTCACTTCCTCCCAGCCTGCTGCCGAAAAGCAAGGGGTCCACTCGCGCTGTGGTCCTTTGTGCATGGGCCACCCAGTGGGCCTCCTTAGTGTGCGGATTACCGGCCAGAGGGTTAGAAATAGTTTAGGCCAGCAGGGCTCACGGTGCAGCTGGCCAGTTTGCCCCGCATTAAAGACGGCCCTGAGTATATGAGCTATTATATTGAATATATTCATGAGTAGTTTATGGTATTGTGTACGATACATATGAATGTGGGCTGTGTATTGGGGCTGCTTGTGGAATTGTGTGTGTGTGTGTGTGTGGATGGATATGTCACAGTGTGTGTTTGGTAGTGTGTGGGGGCTGTTTGGGGTATTGCATGTGGGACTAGACTGTGCTCAATGTGTATCACACCCCCGGACCCGGAGAGGGAGCAACCACCAATGGATGTGTAAAGAGAAGAGGAACAAAGCATGAGGAAGGTGATAGGAGATAGATTGGGAATGATGTCACTTAATTTGGCCTAAAAAAACTAAAACATGTTTGGCAGTAAGGAGCCCAATTCTTTAGCTGTGCCATAGTCTTTTTCCTGTTTTCTAACCTACTACTTATCAGATTCCATTACTGTGATGTGTTTCTTACATTTAGATAACCACAGTAGCTTGCACTATATTGTAAAGCAGAATGAGAATGTTGTGATCATTCAAACTTGGGTCAAGACTAGGTTATAAGACTACCAACAGGAAGGCATGGACAACTTTATCCAGAAAAATCTCTTTGGAAACATCAGAGTGGATTTTTATTCTTACAAATCCAGGATGGTATGAATTATTGTTCAGTTTTAAGTAATAGAAAGTACAAAATCTTACCTATAGGACTATTATCTGTGCAGGCGTTGGTACCCAGTGGAGTAGGAAGTTTAAAGAAAGAGTCGGAAGTTAAGATCGGTGATCCATACTATGTAAAGTAAAAATGAAAATCATTACTGAATTCTAAACTGAAAATTGAAAATGTAAAGACTTGTACAATGCATTATATTGTATAAACATATATTTAATCAACTGCAATAATAACGACATTTAAAGTATCCTTTCCTGGTTCAGAGAGGAGTACTCCGTTCTGATGGTTTATCTGCTCATTATTTGTGTAATACTGTAAACAAATCTCCCTCTCAACATTTTTATCACCAACTTGCTTTTTCAGATGATATCAGTAATGTAGCCAAAATCATGTATTATGTTGTAGAGATTTGACAGGCTTATTCACTAAAATGGAAATTCAAAGTGAATTTCAACTTTAGGATCAAAATAGCTGACCTGGAAAATTTCTCTAAGCAAGCTATGCATTCAGTTATTCAACCCTTACATTTTAAATTCACTTTAGTAAAATAGAGAGATTTTGATTCAGCACATTATTAATCTTAAACTTTTTTTTCCCTTTTCATTTTGTCAATATTGTAGATACCTGCGTTGCCAAAGCACTTTGTTTATGGTAGGGGTTATGAGATGTTTTCATTTTCTAAGGACTTATAAATAAAAGGTATTTGAGGAGGATCTCAGTCTTTTTATGTGGTGTGTCTCAGTTTATGGCATTACCAGTTAAAGGGACACTATAGTCAACACAACAAATACAGCTTAGTGTATTTGTTCTAGTGAGTATAATCATTGTTTTCAGGCATTTCTATGCAAACACTGCATTTTCAAAGAAAAGGCAGTGTTTATATCCCCTCTAGGGACACTGCCAAGTGGCTACTCCTCAGATGGCCAGTGGAGAAGCTTCCTGGCTCAGGGCTGCACAGTAAGCAGCCCTGCCATTCAGCATCTCCACGCTCTGCATTGGGACGATGAATTTTCATCATAGAGATGCATTGATTGAATGCATATCTATGAGGAGGTGCTGAGTGGCCAAAATGATGTTTGGCCCTGGCCCCATCCCACCTCGTTGCCAATGTCCAGCAATTCTGATGATGTTACTAATAATGAGGCATATTTTGGGGCGGGGCCAGCGCGGCGCTGTAAATAAGGTATGTTATAATTGCTTTTAAAGGGAAGGGGCCAGCCTCCTAAATGGTGGGTTAAACACTATAGGGTCAGGAATACATGTTTGTGTTTCTGACCCTATAGTGTTACTTTAATGAATGAACTAGGCACCAGACATGTTTGTGTACATGCACTTTGGGCATTCTTGAGTACACAAAATGCTCTTGCTCTCTCCTAAAGGGCAGCACTCTACTCTCTCCTCCAGCTCTGCTTCACTCCCACTTAATTTGACTGGTATTTCCTGTCCTAATGTGTTTTATACCCCACCTCCTATAGACTGTTAGCTCGTTTGAGCAGGGTCCTCTTCAACTTATGGTTCCTGTAAGTTTTCTTGTAATTGTCCTATTTATAGTTAAATCCCCCCCTCTAATAATATTGTAAAGCGCTACGGAATCTGTTGGCGCTATATAAATGATAATAATAATAATAATAATAATAACTCACCTCACAATGCAATATTTCTTTGTTGGCTACCTCTTTAGTGTATCATGTCAGATGATAATCATATAGCAGATTGCTTTCTGAGCAGGGACACAGTGGACTGTCGTAGTTAAGCTATTGCCACACTTTTCACTATACATACTGTGAGAGTGCAGAATTGTCACGGTACCCTCCATCTTTGCAAAGGACCTGTGTAACCATAGGGCTTGTGCACTCCACAGGCCTGCACAATATGAAAATACACACATATTTACCTCGTATCTTGTAGCTGTGCGTGCTTGAGTGGAGCCAACAAAATTTGCAGTGTTCTCTTCATTATTAAATACATTTCCTCCAAACTCTTTCAACAGACTATCAAAGTTAGACTCTGATGGAACATCAGGAGTAATAAAGGACAACCCTGGCTCATCTAAGGGAAGAAAAGGCAAACACCATGTAAAGCATATATATAGGTGTATGAAGGATAACTAACCAATCACCATGTATTAAGCATAGTAAATCTATCAACGTTTAGATCTGTATACCTCTACTTTAATATTATTATTTTACTTAAAGTAAATACATTTATGGGTTATTCATTAAACTTAACATTGAAATAGCAAATGTGAGACTACAATAGCCAAGCTATAACTATAGTAGAGTTGGAGTGAGTTACAATTTGGAGTTTGGTGAATAACGTGGCCAGCTTTAAAATTCCTTACTCTTTCTACAGAGCAGACACTACTGAAGTTCTTAGTGGCATACGTAGCACAATAAACATAACTAAAACATAAATAAAAATAGATCTCTCTCTCTCCATCGGACCTCTGTTATCAGGGCACCATGTGATGCTCTAGGTTCTCATGCAATCCATTTCAATGCATACCATGGGAGTAAAATGAAAAAGTATGATATATCTGGCTGTGCAAAGACAGACAGGTGTACAATGCAAATTTAAAAAAAAAACAAAAAAAAAAACTGTTCAGAATTGAATACAAGGAGCAACCCATTGATAACGTTTACACTGCTATCTAACCTCTGACAGATATGTTTTAAGCTTTTTAAGTTCCAAGTACATGCTGGAGTCTAGATGTTATTAGCTAATTAAGTAGTAATGAACTGATTGAATTCTGACAAGTGAGAAGCTCAGTTGACTATGCATGGAAGGAAACCTGTGATATCGGCTGAGCTATCACATCGTTTGAAATAGGTTAAATGTTAATATTTACATCTTATATTCAACACATCATGACTCGTATATATCTCTTCTTGTTTAGACTCTGGACAAATAAATGTTTATTTTAAAAACTAAATATTTATTTGGTAACTCTTTTTCAGAGCTCATTTTCTCAGGAGGAGGGTGGGGAAGCTCTAAAATCTCCTGAGAAAAAAAACCTGCATGGTTTTCACGCCCTGTCAATGTTTTATACTAAATCAGAAACTTGTCTTTCTAAAGTGTAAAAAGGTGTTTTGGACCAATATCAATTTTGCTAATGCCACACAAATCCCAGAGATACCTGTGCAAACAATAAATATTTACACTGTATGTCTTTCTTATACAATGCCTCCTGCTTTTAATAAACAGATATTTACAATACATTCCGGGACAAACAAATGCACAATAATAAAAGCAAAATAAAGCCAAACACTATTTACACAAATTAGTATGCAGCACACAGTCTTCTCATTATGCCAGTCCATTTAAGATGCTCAACCCTTCCCAGACTATGAAGGAATTAAAAACATATATCTAAAGTAGATCCCCTGGTGTTAAAGAACTACACATCCCATGACTCTTTGCTAACCTTTAAGTGTACTGAAATCTAATGAACATTGCTTTGTTTCTGCTTTGTATCCAATTTGTATTCTGTGCTCTTTAGCTCACACAGAGTCTACCAAAAGATGGAGTAACCATTGTGTGCATCTTGAAGTTTATCCTTCAAGACATCTATGGCGAGCAAGGTTTGATATGGATACATCAGTCAGCTACTCATATGGACTCTTACTCCAGACAATGAAATTTGATTAATGCCTTTTATATAATTACAAAAAATAATATTGCTTCTTTAGATTGGAATTCTGATCTCCTGGTAAGTATTCTAAATAAAAGAAAAGTTAACCACAACAGAAGAACTAGCAGTGTCTCTTTAGTATAGGAATACAAGTACATACAGTTTGTTGCTTGAATGCAGAAAACATCTGGATTGATTATGTCTACATTTTGGACAACTCTCTGTGGAGTGGCAGAAGAAGAGTTGATTGAATAGAGAACAGTTTGCCGCACACATAGACGACTGTCAGTTCTGTATAAAATGAAAAAATAAAAACAACATTATATCATGAATAAAACAAATACAAAGCATAACAATAAATAAAGTAAAATAAAAACAACAACAAAAAATAAATCTGCAGATGTATCTAAAGTAAATAAATACTAACTATGGGATTCCAGAATGGCTCTGGTAAACAGAAAAGGGTGTGTTTGTGAACAAAAAGACTATAGGCACCAAAGACCACTTCATCTCAATGCAATGCAGTAGGATGAACACTAGTATGGCAAGGGCTGAAAGGTTAGCAATACTCCCCCTTCAAATCCCCACACTGCAGGGGGGCACCACAATAGAAAGCAGGACACTACAGCATAAAATAAAGAAAGAAAAAGAAAAACATGGTGCAAGAGGATAAAAAGAAAACAGACAACAGTTCAAATAGCTTGCCCTCTGGTGAGTCCCTGCTCAGATCTCAGCTCATCTTGTGTCATTACAGAGAAAACCTAAGACATTTGCACATCAGACTGATCCCACCAAAAAGGGTGGTCCAGATCCAAAATGCAGGCCGTCTCTCCATGAGGAATACAGCAATCCCAGACGATCATTTTAGCCTTGCCATGTCTCGTCAGTGAGGTATAGCCGATACCCCTCTAGGCACAGCGAGCAAGGAGTCCACATCTTGATTACCACTTTAACTTAGGGAGAGCAAAATTAAATGGCGCAAGAAGATACTGAGAATGGCCAATTGCTCAAATAGCTTGCCCTTTGGTGGATCCAGATTTGGACCCCTTGCTAACTGGTCCTCAAAGCATCACTTTGGTACACAACCTTGCCAGTGAGGTAGACAGAGTACCACTTTGCCTGTGTAGATATGGAACTGTGGTCACATTTTCCAATCTGACTTGAATTTGATGTCCCTAAAGAGGTTTACTTAAACTCAGGAGGGCCAATTGCACTGGTTTGAGCTCTCTGTGATTTGATGATTTTCAGGAATTTTGAGATGTCTCTTAACCTATATCCTGTAGAAGTTTTTCTCGTAAAGAAAGCTGTGAGGAGCCAATAGTCTAAGTATGGAACAAGATGGATACCTTTTTGGGGTTTGTGTATGGTTTTATACTGTGGAGTATTAGAAGGAGCTTAACTTCTAAATCAATCTAATTGCCTGCCTGCCTTTCTGTCAAGTGTTGGTGCATATCACTGTTGTTGTGGACTGCCTCTAATCCAAAGGGAAAAACTAATTCCAAAGGGTTCACATACTTTTTCTTGCCACTGAATGTGTGACAGCGTAGAAGGTCATTCGCCCACTGGGTCCAAAAGGTGACCATGTTATGGTTGTTTATTAATACTTGAGTGCCTAGCAGACAGTGTTACTAGCCAACACTCCAGATTAAGTGAGAAAAAAAATATTAAGCACCTGGTATTGAGATGACTTTAAATGAAACACTATGAAGTAAAAATTAAACAGTTTTTTGATGGTAAATTCCATTAGTTATATAGTAGATGCAACTGTAAGCATTTGCATCTAATGTACATAAAATTATATCTGTGCCACCTTTTGGTAGGCAACCAGAATATTTACCATCTCTACATTTGATGGGACATTACAATTCAATTTTAAGGATTTTATTTTACTTCACAAATGCAAACAGTAAAATCAGTTAGCGGTTCCCAACCTTTGTTTGAATCAAAGGAGACTTCAAACAGAGATAATACAAGGCACACTTAATCATTTTTCCTCAGTTGGCAACACATAAATGCCACAATCAGCACTACTAGAAGATATGCATACTTCCAGCCACATTTACTTAATTTGGATACCAAGATATATCTATCTATCTCTTGGTATATAAAATTCTTCTCCCTCTCTCCCCCCACACTCTACTCTTCAGAAAGATATTTATGACCCTCTGCAAAAATGGTGTCTATTTTCTAACAATCCTGTGTCTTATCTGCACTCATGTCGCTTTAACCCTTGTATCACAACTCCGCTTTGAATTCTATGTGTCGTCTTGCTCAGAAATGCTTCAGACTTGGGGGCGGGGCCTGACAGCCAAAATGGCCGGACGTGCATTCTCACGGCTCCGACAAATCGGCCCATAAACATCGCCTATGTGACAATCTGCCTGCCGAGAATAACCCACCGAGACCCGGGGGCCGGTCCGCTTCCGAAGGGGCACACATCGACACCCAAATCTTGCACCTGACCCTGACAGAACCACGGATAGGCCCGACGGGCTAATCTGAAGCGAGACGCACATGGATAACGCGGGAGAGACAGCCGCTGTCCCTCGGCCACAGTGCGAGACTATTTTCGGCATGGGACCCCGTTCCCCCCCCTATAGACTGGTGGGGGTCATCCCGGTCCCCTACGCCCCGCAGCAGACATCAAAGCAGGCCCCAGCTGGTTTACCGCGAAAAAGATGTAGGGATGGTGAGCCTCCCAAGATGGCGGACGCACCTGAACGACCCTCACCAACGCAAGCACAGCATGGAGGCCAGATGCAATCAGGTACCAACCTACAGACTGCTGACAAACACGAGACAAAAGGCCAGGCCATAGATACACGGCATACCCCCAGCGAATGGGCAATTGACTTTCAAACCAGATTTGAGGCCATATGCAAGCAGTTCTGGGCTAGACTAGAGGTCAGACAACAGCCTCCAATGTCACCAATGGGCAGCACCACAGCTAATTCATCCATAACAAGACAAGCAGACAGAGCCCCTCGCCCTAAAGAGCAACAGACCAGGGAGCAACTGAGCGGGTCCCAAACTGGGCCCAGAGCCACACGGGGTGCGAACAACACACGCCACCCTCACCGGCGAAAGAGTACAAAGCACCAACTGCAGCACCGGAGTGGGACCCTATGCAGCCACACACCACAACAAACACCTCAGCCACATAAGCAGAAGGCTGCAGGGGGCAAATGGCGAAACCCACCGTCACCTCACAGCGCCCACAGCACCAGCTCTCCCAGAAAGACCCAAGACCCCACAAGACCTCGGGCGCAAGGTAGCAGACACCCGGCTTCACAGCGACCCCAAAGCGGGGGAAGCACCCCACACACCGCGCAACGCTGCGCCTTGCAACGGACTGAGTCCAAGAGCAAATAGCGAACACCGCAGGGGCATCGGCTGAAAGACTGGAGCAGCAACAGGAGGGGCGAGCTTGAATCACCGCAAACCACAAGCACCAACCCTACCTAAGACTCTCGGCACCTTAGAGGGTGCTGGACAAGACGACACCCCCCTGAAACCTACCTGTGGACATTCTCACTAGATTGATACCATAATGTCTAGATATTATCACCTGATGTTACAGCACATACAGAATGTTTAGTTTTGGTGACTCCCAGCATTTAACGGGTGTTTAGCATACTACCAGTTTAAGCGGGCTGAATGTCAGGAACACGGGGATCTGCCTTTAAAAATGGCTTATCTCCGCCTTGAGTAGCACAGTACCTAGTTAACCTGTATAAGCCGGGGCAACACATTTAACTAAATGTCTAACCACTGACCTAATCCATTATATCTGTCTCCCTAAACTGTCATAGGGCTCATATTACTCAACATGCTGGCTCAGTCTGTTTTCATAACACTGGAAGGCAATCACAATAGGCACAACTCATTTGCAAACGCAATCATTTATTGCTTGATATAGCATACTATATTGTACCTTCTCTACTCACTACCATTGACAAGTTACGCCTCCAATATGACCTACTGTTATTGCAGTTGTCTTAAAAGTATCTGAATAGCAAGTTTTACTCAACTAAAACGAAAATGTGTGCATATTATATTAACGCCATACCACTGTTATCAACTGTTTGAAAATGCATGGTTTGCTCTGCTATTGTGGCGATGCAAGCTTATTGTATGTAATCTCTGTGCACCAAAAATAAAGAATTAATAAAAAAAGAAATGCTTCAGACTTGAGAAAGGGAGGTTCTCCCGAAAACTTGTCATTAAAAAATTCTTAGTCCAATAAAAAGGTATTACAAGATACGAATTTTATCTGTTTTTTACATCTACATCACTGGACTAATACGGCTACAATCTCTACTTGAACTATATATATATATATATATATATATATATATTTATTTATTTATTTCACACATTGCTAAACACAAATACACACACCAGTAAAGCCATAAGACTTGCATTTCCCACAGAAATCTCACTACTGCAGGGGATTCTAGGTAGGTGTATGCAAATTAGCTCAACAAAGAACCACATTTTTGCCTCATAATTCCACTTTATACATGGATTCCTTGGAGTATGTGTCTGCTGTATACAACAAAGCCAGTGAACCATATGCTGATGAGTTGCATTCATTAGTGGTTCACTCGCTTTGCTCCTCTTCCTGAGTTGTGTTTCAAAGCTGTTGTATACAGCAGACACATACTCCAAGGAATCCATGTATAAAGTGGCATTATGAGGCAAAAATGTGGTTCACTCACAAGGAAACAATACCATCCAACTACCGACCAATAACCCGCATCCCCACAACATGGAAACTCCTGTCAGGCATTGCGGCCTCCAAGATCCAAGGGCATATGATTTAATATATGAGCAATACTCAGAAGGGGATTGGAAACAACACCAGAGGATCAAAACGCCAACTACTGGTAGATCAAGCAGTCACAAGGGATTCTAAGACCAGACAGACAAATCTGTGCATGGCCTGGATTCACTACAAGAAAGCCTATTACACAATGCCACACACATGGATACTGGAATGCTTGGCTCTCTACAAGGTCAGCCAGACAATAAGAGCCTTCATCAAGAACTCCGTGAGCAAGTGGAAAACAATTCTAGAAGCCAATTCCAGGACAATAACTCAAGTGAACATCAAATGTGGCCTATACCATGGTGATGCGCTATCCCCCTTAACTCGTCATCAAGACGAGTGAATACAGATACAGGATCAAGAGTGGAGTTACCATTGGTCACCTACTCTACAAGGATGACATCAAGTTGTATGCCAAGAATGAGCAGGACATTGACTCATTGTCCCACCTAATTAGGATATACAGCAAGGACATCGGAATGTCGTTGGGACTAGAGAAGTGCGGGCGGATGATAGCAAAAAGAGAGAAGATGATCAGGACAGATGGAGTTAAAGTTCCAGAAGGCCAAATAGAAGATGTAGAGTACAGCTACAAGTACCTAGGGGTACCACAAATACATGGCAACCATGAGGAAGAGGCAAGAAGAATAGCAACATCCAGGTACCTCCAAAGAGTCAGACAGGTTCTGAAGTCCCAGCTCAATGACAAGAACAAGATCCAAGCCATCAACACATATGCCCTACCCAGCTGGAATAATAAGAAAAATAAGAAAAACTGGTCACCATGGATGTCAAGACCAGAAAACTACTCAATATGAATGGAGGATTGCACCTGAAATCCAGCACCCAGAGACTGTACACCTGCCGGAAGGAAGGAGGTCGGGGTCTGATGAGTGTCAAGGCCAAAGTCCTGGATGAAACACAGAGCATCCACAAGTACATCATAAAGATGGCTCCCAAAGATGAACTGCTAAGGGAATGCCTGAGATTTCAACAGATAGAGGATGCAGAAAAAGAAGAGGTTCCTTGTTAAGACTGAACCTTTCCATGGGGTGTATCACCGGCAGATAGTGGATGTGGCTCACATGACAAAATCCGACCAGTGGTTGGAAAAGGCAGGACTGAAAGAAAGCACTGAGGCACTAATCCTAGCAGCACAGGAACAGGCACAGGCACTCAGCAACAGATCAATAGAAGCTGGAGTCTATCACATCAGGCTAGACCCAAGGTGCAGAGAGGCCTCTGAGACAGTCTAGCACCTAGTAGCCAGATGCAAGATGTTAGCAGGAACAGCATACACAAAGAGAAACAACCAAATTGCTGAGATTGTGTACCGAAACATCTGCACAGATTATGGATTGGACCTGCCTAAGTCCATATGGGAGATAGCACAAAGGGTAGTCGAGAATGACAGGGCTAAAATCCTGTGGAACTTCAAGATCCAGACAGACAAGCAAGTGCTGACCAACCAACCCGACATCGTGGTGGTAGATAAGGAACGGAAGACTGCATTCGTGGTGGATGTGGCAATACCCAGTGACCATAACATTAGGAAGAAGCAACATGAGAAGGTGGAGAAATACCAAGGACGGAAAGAAGAGCTGGAAAGGATGTAGAAAGTGAAGGCAGTAGTAGTTCCAGATGTGATAGGAGCACTTGGGGCTTTGACTCTCAAGTTAGGGGAGTGGCTTCAACAGATTCCAGGTGGGACATCTGAGATAGCTGTCCAGAAGAGTGTGTTAAATGTGTTCAAGGCATACTTTGAAGGAAGGAAGGAAAATAGTGACTCTGACAATTATAGAAATAAAGTACAAACAAATTTGTGCAACAAGCTGTTTTTAAAGTGACACAGTAGTCACCAGAACTACATCTTAATGTAGTGGTTCTGTTGTTTAGAGCATGCCCCTGCAGTAGGAGCAATGTAAACAATACCTTTTCTCACCTTTATCTGCTAATAAAATTCCATGCCCCAGGCAGCAACTGTTAACGCAAAGACCCTTAACACATAAAACTACAAAAGCCAGTTTAAGTACCTCTGTTACACAAACGGGTTACTTTATTTTAACTGCCAGTTTAATGGCTGGAATGAGTGCCAGCAACACCGCCAACAAATAATCTGAGAGGGAGCAAAATTTACCATCTGATAAATTAACATACTTTAGCATCTAGATTATCAATTCACTCTCTAATGAGGAAGCATGAGCCTGAGCAGCAATGAGTGGCTATGTTTGGCTGCGAGTGTCAGCTGACCGCTTTTAGGGTATCAATGTGCCCATTGCTGGTATGAATTGGTAGGGCTTGAAGGGAGTGTGTACTATGCCTTAGCCAAACCTCCAGGGGTGAGGGGCTGTGGTTGTCCACCAACCCTAAATCAACAAAAACTGCTCGTAAATAATTCAACAGTGAACCAGAGAACTCCAGGCACTAGAGCTAATTCAATGACATGAATGCTTAAAGTGCCTACAGTGTCTTTTTAAATGGACACTCAAAGTACCTAAACAACTTTAGTCTAATGATGTGGATTTAAAATATAGATCTTGCCCCCCCCCCCCCGATACCCCTATGGTTAGGGGTAACACCCCTCAGGAGTACTTCACACTACCTACAAGCAAGCCGCTCCTTCTACTGAAGGAACAGAACCTAGATCACTTACTCCCATGACCCCAACATTCACAAGTCTCTCTACACCCAGGCAGGGTAATGAACTTTTACACTCTATACTTGTGACAGAACACGAGTAGTTATATTATCCCACAGTATTACCCTCCCCGGATCAAAAGCTGATAACCATTACTCTACCTCAAGCATGTCAAACTCGCAGCCCACAATGAATATATTTGCGGCCCGGTGAGCTTGCCATGATTACCAAGGCAGAGTAGGCACCTGCTCTCCTTACATTGAAGGCATCTACACTGCTCAAATTTACCTGGTACCGGCCGGAGGAGAGGTCCCTGGCGGCAGCGAGGGCGCTCACTCTTTATGCTCCTCACTGGTCCCTCGATGCGTCCTCTGTAGTGCCGGAATATGACATCATTCTGGCACCCGGCATCACTAAACTGCGCGTGTGAGGGAGAAGTGAGGAGCAGGAAGACTGAGCTCCCGAGACAAGAGGCCCCACACCAGCTCCCAAAGGTAGGGAGCAATAAATCAAATGATGTTGGTGTGTGCAAGAATGTGGAAATATGTGTGTGTGCATGTCAGAGAGTGTGTTTGTGTCAGAGAGAGTGTGTGTCGGTTGGTGAGTGTTGCGATGGCCGCGGCTGGACAGTGGAGGACCTGGAGGTGCATGGATGCATGCAATGCCATGTCACATTCCGACGTGACATTACCTTCTCCACCTTCACAGGTTTTCAAGGAGTAGAAGGAGGATCTGCTTTGGCACAGGGTGCGGACGGCGCCATTGGGGGAATACCAGAGGCTGGACTCCAGAGTCGCATACTTGCAGCAGCAATGTGAGTGGAGTCTGCTTGTTTAGTAAAGGGGGGTGGTGGGATTTAGTATAGAGGGGGGTCAACTGGGATTTAGTACAGAAGGGGGACGACTGGGATTTAGTACAGAAGGGAGGGACTGGTATAAGGATGCTGCATTGCAGAAACATCAATAAGGGCTTGGCCTAATGTTTTATTTATACAATCAATGCTTTCACCTTCTAATACTTCTTTATCACTTCCAACGTCTTTTCTACAGAAAATCACTCTTATCACTTGACAGAGTTCACATAGGAGTCGTTAGTTACTCTATGTACATAAAGTTAGAAAAAAACTAGCAGATGACAGTGCAGCTTGCAGTATCAGATCATTTTTGTATAAACACAGATGAGTAACTGGAGAGATATGTGTGCCATCTATCGGAAAAGAAAGTAAACAACATGCTAATGTCTTGTTAGTCTACGCTTATAGTCTGACCATCTTATTAATTGAATATTAAAATAATCATATAACAAGATACAGGAAGTAACCACATTTATAAATTAATATTAAATTGCTATTCTAATCATCATAACCACTACAGCCTGGACACCAAGTTGCCTAAAATCATCTTCAAAATGAACTCAGAAGGAGGAAGAATGATGGCTGCAGCAAGACGAGAATGCCGCTAAGTCAGAGTCAAGTTTAGTTCAATAACTAACCTTAGGGCACCATCAGCACACTAACATTAGAAGTAGATATATGTAAATATAATGTTTGCTGTAGTTTTTTTGTTGTTGTTGTTATTGTTAAACGTAAACAAATGAATATGACCTTCATAAAGTACAGTAAACTGCATTTCACCACTAGATGGCAGTAAAGATCACACAAATTAAAGGACCACTATAGTACCAGGAAAACAAACTAGTGCCCCCACCCTCATGGCCCCCCTCCCGCCGGGCTGAAGTTGAAGATCACCAGCGCCGGGCTCCCTCAGCGCTGGGGACTCTCCTCCTCCTTTGGACATCATCGGCTGAATGCGCATGCGCGGCAAGAGCCGCGCGCGCATTCAGTCAATCCATAGGAAAGCATTCTCAATGCTTTCCTATGGATGCTGGCGTCTTCTCACTGTGAAAACCACAGTGAGAAGCACGGAAGCGCCTCTAGCGGCTGTCAATGAGACAGCCACTAGAGGATGGATTAACCCAAATGTAAACATAGCAGTTTCTGTGAAACTGCTCTGTTTACAGCAGACAGGGTTAACTCTAGAGGGACCTGGCACCCAGACCACTTCATTAAGCTGAAGTGGTCTGGGTGCCTATAGTGGTCCTTTAAAGTAAATTATAATAGCAAACTAAATGTTATTTGGCCTACAAACTGCAAGCAAGCAGTAATCTCTGAATGTGTCAGTTTGGTGTATGATAAATGTTTGAATTCCTATAGTTAGTAGGAAACATCTTGGCTTATTTTTAGTAGCCATCAATTTGTTTCAAATGATAACTGCACATTCAGAGATACTCTCCAAATATCGTCTCAATTTGCCTTTAGTGAATACCTGAATTTCAATTTGGGTCAAATGATGCTATTTGTTTCCCAGATTTGCAATTAAGAGTCATATATCAAGCCAGTGAATAGCTGCAGCAGTTTTCCACAGTGTGTTGTACAATTAAGACGCTCAATTGAAATGTGAACTGAAAAATAGAGTGGAAAAAAACACTGCCAGGTCTAAATAATATATTATTATTGTCCTATGCTAATGGCAGCATCAGGACGGGTACAGTGATCTCAACACCATTACGCACCAGATGAGTGAAGTGGAACAAACCAAATTACTGCAAAAACAAGCTGAATCTGCAGCATGTAGCTGGGTCAGAATAAGACAGCTTTTCCATCATATACCCAATGGCACGTGACTATTATATTTGAGTAAAGTAATGTTAGATGTGAACCATTCATCTTGCAAAAAGCTGAAAAAGCAGTCTGAGTGACCACGTAGCCTGCAAACGAAATAGACTCACATTTGGTCCTGCAAACGACTCTTTCTGCTTGTAAGTGGCCTGAACTACAGCCCCTTAAAATAAATTGTGAAAGTCATGACATCACGCCCTTAGAGGGACTGTGTCATCTAGATAACCCGATGTTGTTTGGAGACGCAGAGATGACGTGAACCAATGAGAACCTATTTAAAGCCTGTTCTGGCCCTTACTCATTGCCCTATCGTGGTTTCTGTTTAGTAACATGTTTAGTGCTCCTGCAACTCTTTTGATTTCCTGTTTTTGACCTTGGTTTCGTTTTGACTCTGTTAACCTATGGTATCTTGACATGGCTTGTAGTTTGACCTGTGTATTTCTGGTATCCTGACCCGGCTTGTATTTTGGGTATCCTAAACTGGCTTGTTTTTCATGTATCCTTATCTCTGTATTCCTGACCACAGTTATTCTTGACTTTGATTCTTTCTTGTAATACATTAAACATGGACACTCTAAGGTCCAGTAATTCGGCTTTTTGGTCCCTTACTTTTGTGGGTATCTTGTTTCCTGAGAGGAAGGGTAACGGCAACCGTTCTGTGTCAAGTTGGACATAACCCAGGTGTCACCATTGAATATGTGGCCCAGTCCTTTGCTCAGCATACTATTATTACAGAAGTTACATTTCTGCACAAGCAAATGTTGATTTCATCCAGATTTGGAAGGGATTTATTGGTTAGGCATTACTAGCTGGTGCTCTCTGAAGTAGAACACCTGCATTAGCAAAATAATGAAAAGGGGGCTGTGCCACAGGTATCATGGGTCCTTCAATTACTGTCAAACCACTAAATTATGGTCTTTAGTGTACACCTTTAAAAGAACACTTCAAACACCTAAAGCACTTTATAAAAAGGGCAAATTTCACTAGAAATTGCCACTTTTATAAATTAACCTTCTTACACCCCTGGCTGTCAGATAATCAGTCATGTTACTTCCTGGTTGTTTAGCTCGGTGGAACTAACCTCAAGAGGCAGCAATTGCCCAGAGCACATACCTTGCAAAGGCTTCTCATTGAGCAACATTGGCAAGTCTGTGATTGGACAGCAAAAGAAAGTATGTGCTTTAGAAGAAGGGGAGGGCTTTTTTTTAAATGCTGCAGGTAAGAGATCTGCCGAGAAAGCAATTTAATTTTTCCTTTATATGTGCTACATGGAAAAAAATGCATGATTTAATGCATACATATTTTCATTGGCTGTATATCTACCAAATAGTGATTTTCATTAATTATTTTTTTTTGTATTTCAGACCTCATATAAACACATTACTTAAATATAAGGGATTACTAAACATAATATTAAAAACTGACAAGTGAAAATGCCCCTTTAAACATTCATGTCATCACACACATTTTAGAGATAAAATATATAAATATTTTTTTTTAAAAAGACAATATTTAGGGGGGGACGGGGCCGGGCCACTGAGCCGATCTCAGGATTGCTCTGCAGGATTGAAATAGCGGCATTTTGGCAAAACACAACTTTTATGAGACACATAAGGGCCACCTGGAAAGAGGTGACCATACAGGCACAATGCTGTTACCGAAAATGCAGACCTTTCTGAGAGATTTGCCCGAACATACCCAGCGGCCTGCAAGCAAAGCTGGTGCAGGGAAGACGGATGCTTTCCTGACGCCACCTAAAGCAATGAACTCAACTGTTAGCCTCCGTTCCCCTATAAGGACCGGTGGAGGTTATCGTCCTCATGCTCCATGGCAGAGAATTTAACAGAGGCCTACCGCCCATAAAGTGGCAGAGATCACTTAAGAGCCCGCCAAGAGCACACAGCCATGCTCTATTGCTCAATGGCTGGACGATATTTTTGCTGCCTTTTGGCTCCACATAGAGGAGCGACAGAGGGGCTCTTTCCTGGCTCCCCAACAATTTGTACCTGCTGTCAATCGTACAGCTGAGCTATTAAGCCTGTCTGCTCTATGATGCTTGCTGTATCAACCTTACTTCTTTGATTTCCTTTTACATGCAAATGCAGAATAGTGATGTATTTGATCTCAGTGGATAAATTACTCATCCGTGTTAACCTAGCTTGCCTAGCAAAATTAATCCTATCTACCATACAAGCCTAGAATTATACTTGTGCCTTTTCTCTTTATTGGCACTGTTTGTCATGTATGCTTTACCCAACTTTTCATTTAAAAATCAAAAAACAAAAAACAAAAAAAAAAACAGCTCAGCTTTTCCTAAAACTTTGTGTGATGTATTTTAGTATGTAAACTTAGATATGTGGTTATTTACCTAAAATATGATGTGGAGAAAACTGAAATCTACATGGCAAAATATATCATTTGAAGAAATTTGGTAACTCCGATATAATTACATTAGTTTAGAAAAATGTCGCCTGAGAGGGGATATGATAACATTATACAAATATATTCGGGGCCAATACAAACCATTGTGTGGAAATCTATTCACAAACCGGACTTTACATAGGACACGAGGCCATGCGTTTAGACTGGAAGAAAGAAGATTTCGTCTAAGGCAAAGGAAAGATTTTTTCTACTGTAAGAACAATCTGGATGTGGGTTTCTCTGCCTGAAGAAGTGGTTTTATCAGAGTCCATACAGATGTTCAAACAGCTACTAGATGCATACTTGCAAAAACATAATATTCAAGGATATAATCTTTCAATGTAGGGTAATAACTGCTTGATCCAAGGATAAATCTGACTGCCATTCTGGGGTCAAGAAGGAATTTTTTTCCTAGCTTGTTGCAAAATTGTGCTTCAAGCTGGGTTTTTCTGCCTTCTTTTGGATCAACAGCAAAAAACAAATGTGAGGAAGGCTGAACTTGATGGACGCAAGTCTCTTTTCAGTTATGTAACTATGTAACATATTGCTTATTGTTTACCCTACATTTTGAAGATTGAATTTCAATTCACTGCATTTCAGAGTTTATTGAATAACCATGTGAATCCAAAAAAACATGCTTAGAAGTATGAATCAGGCACGTGGGGTCCGCAGACATACACAGACAAATGGGAAGCGGATCTGGGTGAAACACTAGAGGGGACGGAGTGGCAAGACATATGGGAGGCGAACACAAAAGTGTCTATATGCACGACCCTACAGGAACAATCATATAAAATAATGCTCCGGTGGTATACAACACCAGTCAAGCAACAACACATGCAACTCTGCCCCACTGATACCTGTTGGCGACTATGTGGAGAAAAAGGCACATACATCCATATGTGGTGGCAGTGCACCAAAGTAAAAGAGTTTTGGGGAAAAATAGTGGCCATGCACACTAAAATCCTACACCGACAAATAACACTGGACCCCTGGGCATGTCTATTATCACGACCGACAAACGGACTAGACAAACACGACCAAAAACTTCTGAATTTGCTCAATCTAGCAGCTCGCAGGGCACTGGCACAATACTGGATAAAACCAGAGACACCCCCACTATCTCTAGTAATTTCCAAAATCAGAGATAATTACTTAATGGACAAGATGACAGCTACCGTTCGGAACACTACCACCACATTTCAAAAGGTATGGGCCCTTTGGGAACAATATGATGAAAAATCATAAGACAAATGAGCACCCCCTCACAGACAGCTACTTACTCGTGCAGTTCTAGGATTTAACGCCTACTTTCACTTGATCGTTTTTTTTTGTGTATATGTTTTTCTTTGTGCATACAACAAATAAATAAAAACCTTTGACAGGCGAAAGCTAAATGACAACAGCCTTTGCGCAACCCACATGTAACATGTCTAAAACGTATATTATGTATATTAACAACCCAGATTCTCTTTCTGTAACATGACTAAAGCATATTTGAAAGATGGGCTTCTGCGTAAGCCAAACATGCTCTCACCTTCAATGTCTGTCAATGCAAAAATAAAGAATTGATAAAAAAAAATAAAAAAAAATAACAAACTCAACACATATACATGCGTACTTACGTGACAACAGAAACTGAACATCCAGAGAAGACACTGAAATCCGAAGCAGTGCAGACTGGATCACAACAGCAGTTTACATCACACTGGTCCACGAGCAGATCACAAACACACAGGCTGGAAACTTTAGGAACAAAATGAAGAATCCAGTTACAGCAAAGAAAAAAAATGATTATTTTTCCATACTTTATTCCATGTTTTACATACTGGCCTCATGTTTGTAAATACATATTGTTTTAAACCTACAAGAAGCAAACATGTTTAGCTATTATTCCAATTAGCAAGAATATTAAAAAGATTGATTGAGAGGAAAAAAAAAAAAAATCACATGGTGTTATTAAAGGAACAATATAGGAAATGCCTCTACAGTCACTAGAGATGTGTTTTATTTTGCAATCTGTTCTTTGACCCTGCAGAGTTAGAAGACCACAGATGTCAGTGATGCCACTTTAACTCAATGAAGTGGCGTGTGTGCAGTGGTCTTGTCAGTTTAACAGTTCAAGGTAAAACACTGCCGTTTTTCAGAAACGGCAAGGTTTACCTTGAGCGTTTAAACACACCTTCAGTGAATGCTGCACTGATAGATGCTGAAGGTGCTTCAGCTGTATTGACTAAGTAAAACTGTCACATGACGCAAAAGCCCCAATAGTGACTTAATGCTTTCCTATGGGGAAGTACTGTGCATGGGCATCTGGTCCCCAATGCTCCTCAATAAGGTGCATTTGATTGGACAATGGCTCTAAGTAAAAAGCTTTTATTTTTTTATGAGACACACAGGGGACCTATATTACTAGGGACAAGGACGATAAAACATTAGGAATACAGGTTTGGATGCCTAACACTTTAGTGTTCCTTAAAAAAGGACAGAGCCATTGCACCCAGATCCCTTCACGGAGATGAAGTGATGTAGGTGACTTTAGTGTTCCTTGAACCAAAGTGAGTGCTATCGGGAATCTAAAGAAGATTATGCACTAAAGTTAGAATTGTCAGGAAACCAAAGTGAATTTCAAACTTTAGACCAAAACAATTATAGTGGAAGCTTAGCTGACGACCTTTTTTTCCCCCCTTCCAATTCAGCTATTTTGGCCTTATGTTTGATATTCACTTTGAATTCCTCACAACTCTTATTTTAATAAAGAACTCTGAAAGTGAATTTCAAATATTGGGCTAAAATAACGTAAGAAAATCTACATATCCGCTATGCTTTCAGTCGGCTACATTGGTGTAAAATCTAACATTATAGACAATTTAGGTTTCAGTAAATAAACATGTATTTATTAGAATTTATTAAATAATTACATCAATACATTCAGTCAATCACTGCTGCTCGAAAGCCAAGCTTTTCTATAATTTACCATTGGTGAGAGGGGAGGGGAGGGTCACAGCACGAGATTGCACTGACAGCTCAGTGTCTCTGGCGATGAATGGAGGCTGGGTAACAGCAGACTCCTCTGGGAAATCAGTGAGAGAGTGCCCTCGGTCAGTGGTGCTGGTCCCTGGTGACTCTGTGAGATCAGGGAGAGAGTGCCCTCGGTCAGTGTGTTCAGTGGTGCTGGTCCCTGGTGACTCTGGGAGATCAGTGAGAGAGTGCCCTCGGTCAGTGGTGTTGGTCCCTGGTGACTCTGTGAGATCAGGGAGAGAGTGCCCTCGGTCAGTGTGTTCAGTGGTGCTGGTCCCTGGTGACTCTGGGAGATCAGGGAGAGAGTGCCCTCGGTCAGTGTGTTCAGTGGTGCTGGTCCCTGGTGACTCTGTGAGATCAGGGAGAGAGTGCCCTCGGTCAGTGGTGCTGGTCCCTGGTGACTCTGTGAGATCAGGGAGAGAGTGCCCTCGGTCAGTGTGTTCAGTGGTGCTGGTCCCTGGTGACTCTGGGAGATCAGGGAGAGAGTGCCCTCGGTCAGTGTGTTCAGCTGGTCCCTGGTGACTCTGTGAGATCAGTGAGAGAGTGCCCTCGGTCAGTGTGTTCAGTGGTGCTGGTCCCTGGTGACTCTGGGAGATCAGGGAGAGAGTGCCCTCGGTCAGTGGTGCTGGTCCCTGGTGACTCTGGGAGATCAGGGAGAGAGTGCCCTCGGTCAGTGTGTTCAGTGGTGCTGGTGGTGTGTGGGGCTGCTGTTGTAGTAGCGCAGTATGTCGGAGTGTGATCCTGTTCTGTGTTATAGGGGGGTACTGCTGTGCCCTCCAAGGGGGTGGTCTCGTTGTCCATCAGTAAAGATATCGCCGTGTCCTCCCACTCCTCGATCTCGGCTATATCTAGGTAGGTAGAGTCCCCTGGCTTCTCTGACACGCACGGCACTGCCCAGCGGATAACGAGCACAATGAGCCAGGTCTGTAAAGCAGCCATGGCAGCTGTCTGGGAGCGTTGCTATAAACAACCAGCGGCTCGGAATCCAGGAAGTGACGTGTGTAACACGCGCCGCACTACATACGTAACTGGCGTGCGACTGCAGCTAGAAGGATTATTAGACATGCTTACAGTTTAACATATAGTAACTATTGGCACACATGCACTGCTTTCAAAGAAGGGGAATCCTTTTCTGTGTACTTATCCTATACCTGGGCAAAGTCAGGGCTGGTCATAAAAAGTACATTTTAGCTCACAGTTTATCATTACTCAATTGTAGTGATGTCCCGAACGGTTCGCCACGGATGGCGAACGTAAACATAAAATTTGACCCGTACCTCACAGTCAGCAGACACATTCCAGCCAATCAGCAGCAGACCCTCCCAGTGGGGTAAAATGACACAAAATGGTAAGGATAGTATTAGACTAGTGACAGTTGCAGAAGAGGAATCAGTCGGGAGCTATTAACAGTTTAATTGATACGCTTTTATGAAGAAGTGGGTTTTTAACCATTTTTTGAGTGTAGACTGGGTGAGCATCTAACGGAGGAGGGAAGCGAGTGCCACAGGAACGGTGCAGCCCTCGAGAAATCTTGAAGGCGAGCATCAGAGGTGGGAGTACGGACAGAAGATAGACGTAAGTCTTCAGCAGATCGTAAGGGCCTAGACGGGACATACTTGTGGATAAGGGAGGATAGATAGGTGGGAGCAGCATTATGTAGAGATTTGAAAGCAAGAACCAGAATTTTAAATTGAGCTCTATATCTTATAGGAAGCCAATGTAGGGACTGACAGAAGGGTGAGGAGTGGGAGGTGCGGGCGGACAGGAAGATGAGCCTCGCCGCTGCATTCATTATGGACTGTAATGGTGCAAGTTGGGAGCATGTAAGACCACTGAGAAGCGGATTACAGTAGTCAAGGCGAGAAGGACAGTGGAATGGACCAGCACCTTAGTCGCATCTGGCGTTAAGTAGATGCGCGCAATGTTTTTGAGATGGAAATTACAGGGTTTGGCTATAGACTGAACATGAGGCTTGAAGGAGAGGTCGGAGTCAAAGAGAACACCTAGGCAGCGAGCCTGCATGGTGGAGCTGATGGTAGCACCATTGACTTGGAGGGAGACAGACACAGGAGTAACAACACTTGAGGGAGGAAAGACCAGAATTTCAGTTTTGGTCAAGTTTAGTTTAAGGAAGTGGGCAGCCATCCAGTTAGAAACAGCAGAGAGGCAGTCAGAGACACTAGTCAAGAGGGACGGGGAGAGATCAGGAGAGGACAGGTAGATTTGCGTGTCATCTGCATAGAAATGATATTGGAAGCCAAAGGAGCTAATGAGTTTACCAAGGGAGGCAGTATAGATGGAGAACAGTAGGGGACCAAGGACTGAACCTTGGGGGACACCAACAGAAAGGAGTTGGGGAGAAGAAGCAGAGCCAGAGAAAGAAACACTGAAAGAGCGCTGGGAGAGGTAGGAGGAGCACCAGGAGAGAGCAATATCTTGTAGACCGATATTGCGGAGGATGAGAAGAAGCTGTTGATGATCAACAGTGTCAAAAGCCACAGACAAGTCAAGGAGAATTAGGATAGAGTAGTGACCACGAGATTTTGCAGCGAGTAGATCATTGGATACTTTGGTCAGTGCCGTTTCCACAGAGTGCTTAGCGCGGAAACCAGACTGAAGCGGGTCTAGCAGGGAGTTGGACTCGAGGAAGTCTGTCCATCTTGCATACACAATTCTTTCAAGGATCTTGGACGCAAAAGGCAGTAGCGAGATAGGACGGTAGTAACAATAGCAGACTTGGAAAAATATCACACTACTGCTATAGTCAGCTTGGCTATTTCAACTGAAATTTTACAGTTAGTTTTGCAACAGTTTGTTATTCAGTTAAAAAGTACAGAAAAAATGTTAGGAACCAAGTGAATAAGAGAGTGTATTAACCCCTTAAGGACCAAACTTCTGGAATAAAAGGGAATCATGACATGTCAGACATGTCATGTGTCCTTAAGGGGTTAATTACCCTACGATCCCTTTCTCTTTATTTTATATATGAGTTTTTGCATTATCCATTACAGCTGCAGGACTGGTAAATTATCACTAATTTAGCTGGTGTCTGGCGCCCTCTGGTGCAAACTTTAGGTGGTTCCTAGATTTGCATAGTTTATTTGTATTCAGTGAATAAAGGGATACCATAGGCACCCAAACCACTTCAGCTCATTGAAGTGGTCTAGGGGCAGTGTCCCTGGCCCCATAACTATGCAAAGGTAATTATGTCAGTTTTGATAAACTGCAATAGTTACATTGCAGGGTTAACTCCGCCTCTACCAGACAGCCACTAGAGAGACCTCTGGGTAGTTAGGCTACATCGTCTAACTGATGTTGGATATCCTCACACTGTGCATGAGGACATCCAGTGTCACCCAAAACCCCATAGGAAAGCATTATACAATGCATCGGCGCTGGAATCAGGTAAGTGACAGGAGTTTTTAACAATATTTAATTTCTTTCTAAGTGAAGTGTATTTTGAGACATATATATATATATATATATATATATATATATATATATATAAGAAAGAAAGAAATACCGGCACTCCAGGATTTGGTAAAAAAAAAGATAAGATCTTCTTTATTCTAATTCCAAACGGTCAACGTTTCAGTTCTTGTACAGAGCTTTTTACAGTAAGCAGCCACAGGCTTCTCACTGTCTACTAGACATGCCCCTACTTGCAGTATAGTGAGTAGGGGCAGAATTGACTAATACTAAGTAATTTTTACTTAGTATTAGTAAATTTGGCTGAAAGACCAATTTAGGTCTTTCAGCCTTTTGGTCGATAGCGCCCTAATACCGTGGGAATTAGGGAGTTATCTACTAAGCAGCTGCAAGAGAACATCTGAAGTCCCGAAATTCCTAAATGCCAAAGTTCTGAAATTCCGAAGCGCTGAAGTACCGAAGTTCCAAAGTGTCGAAGTGCCGAACCGAACCAAAGTGCCGAAGTTCCAAATTGCCGAAGTCTCGAATTTCGGAATGCCGAACCAAATATTTTCCCCATGCACATCCCAGTGGAGATAGATATATGTGGGGACTAGATGGTGTAGGGAGACATAGAATCATGAATGTATACAAAATAACACCAACATACATTCATAATGGCATCACACACACACACAGAAATGCTGACAAAAATAGAGGGACATTATTCATACAGGAACTCTTGATACAGATTAACAGTGCACACACTACACAGTTATTGCATACTGGGAGACATTTACATGCATTCACAATACTTCTACTAGAAGAAACAAATCAATATTGCACATACTTTTTTTTTACTTAAGAAAAGTCACGTTATACATAAACATACACCCTTAAAGAGTCTTAACTGGGAGTCTGGAGATAAAGTTGGAGTCATGAGTGGCCTTTTCTACTATTAATAATAAATGAGGGTACCAAACAATTATTTGGGGCATGACTCCTATGTTTCATACAGGGTAGTTGAAAACCTAAGTCTGGTTCTCAATAAGTAACTTAAAACCCAGAAGTAATAAAAACAAACAAAATAATCCCAGAGATAATCATTTTTTTTATATATATATTCTTTATTTTTATTGTGCAGTTGTTTACAGAGCATATCAATGACGCTACAACAGCGTAGACGGTAATCAGTACAGCATAAACAATGGCACAGAAAACAGTGCACATTTTGTAGTAAAACGATTCTGAGACTGTTAAACATAACATGTGTATTACGGATTGAACTGAGCTGTATACAAGTGGGTAGGTCGGGTATATCTAGCATCATATGTTCGAGCTCTAGGCATTTTCGTAGTACTTTACATCGAGATCGTAATACTTTGTAGACATAGTGCCTAAGGTTACGGTCATCCCTGTTGCTATTAGTAAGTGGGGCTTCCGCCCTGTTAAGGGCAGCGCAGGGTATGCAGTGAACGAGGTGTAATGGGATACTAACATATGGACAGGTAAACATGTAACCAGACTCCTTCATGGGGTACCAGTGGAGCTTTGGTAGGCATTGATATGGGGTGGATTTATGTAGCCTTACAGTAAAGTGACAAAACTCGTCTGTGGCCATATTTTATACATTAAGGCACCGTGAAGAGCAGGTGGTTTAGTCCCTCAAGCCCACAGGTGGCCTCAGGTTTGGCCCGTTGACAATGCAGCTTGGGTGGACCTTCTAGGGACAAATGTCTCGGAGGTGGCCGGGTTCCATGCATGGGTGTTAGTGGTTTTGCGGGGTTGCAGTAGGGCATCTTGTGAGAGGCCCCAGGTCTCTAGGTGCGTTCTCACCTCTTGTAGGTCGGCTATTGAGTACGTAGCTTCTCCATGAAACACCTGTAGCTTGTGGGGTGGGCGCCACTGGTATTTGACATTATGTGCGTGAAGCAAGGTGGTGAGTGGCCTGAGGGTTGCGCGCCATGCCATTGTTCCTCTTGACAAATCCGCATAAAACGTAAGAGACATGTCCTCAAAGGCATATGGTGTGTTTCCCCTGGTGACGGACATGATTGCCAATTTATTTTGTCATTTTTGGAGTTTAACTATTATGTCCCTGGGTGCTACTAGTGGGGCTGTCGTTGGTTTGGGTATTCTAAATACGCCATCTAGGCTTACTCCTTTGGCCTGCTTCAGGGGGAGTATTTTGCTTACCAGGCGTCTTATGATGTGAGGCAATTCACTGTCTGGGACTGACGCCGCTATTCCCCTGATCTTTATGTTTTGAGCACGCAGTGAATCTTCTATTGCTGCCATTTTTTGTTCCACCTGCAGATGCTGCTGTTGTAGAGATTTTATGTCCTGCTGCAGCGCGGTCAGTTGCTGTGTATGGTAGAATCTTGCTCCACGACACCCATGCGGTCCGACAGGCCCTAGATGTCTTTTTTCATATCCGCCATGTCGGCCTGGATGTTCCATCGGAGTTCTGCCAGTAATTCCTGCATCTCAGCCTTCATGACCGGAGTAGTATCCGGCTGTGTTGCACACTG